GACGAGGTATACAATCAAAACATGCCTTCTAGAACATAGTCTAGGTGACAACTTATGGTTTAAGGAAAGACGTACCCTGTAAGAACCTGCACCGTTAATTAAGGAAATTAAGTAATTAATTGTGTTAAATTAGAAAATGATCCCATAATTGACCCTAATAATTATTAAGAGGCTTTAATAATTATGATAAGTGATTAAGAATGCTGAAAGTCGCTTTTCGGAAGAAAAGTGCAGATACCGGTTCTGCTAGTCCGTGTAAATGCGTACCGAAAAAGTATCCCAAAAAATTATAATAAGTGCATGATAATTACTAGAATAATATATAGGACTTGTAAAACGAGTTTCAAGTCCAAATAATGAGAACTGGTGCCAGAAACTGATACTGGCTATGAAAAGCGCATACTGGAAAAGTGCTCCGAAAAATATAAGAAAAATATGATAATTCTTGTAAAATTGTGTAGGTTAAGAATCCAAAGTTTGAGATTAAAATGTTGAGCGTAGCAATTAAAGTTAATATTGTGTGTTTAATGCTTAACTGCCTATATATAGCCTTATTAAGGGCAGAAAGCCCTAGAAAACTGACTCTATGCGTGGGTTCTTGTGGTGGCTGATCAGTTTTGCTCTGTGTTAGTGCTTTCTTCCCTTTGTGTGAGCCTTGTGACCTTCTACCTCCATGTTACCTCTTCCAATAATTTAATAAATAAAAAGTATAGTGACTAAAACTTAAATTATTAAAAAATATAAGAATTGATATCTTAAGGATAAGAACCGAAACTTAAATAAGTGAAAATATGTAGATCAAATATCAAAATAAAAATAAAAATATCAAGATAAAGATTCAAATTCGTAGAAATTATAGAGATTAAAAAAAATTGGAAACAGATAGATAAAAATCTTGTCTAAACTAATTTTCAATGTTATCCTTCTCTCACTTTTTTTTTTTTTTTGGTAAACCTCCTTCTCTCATAAATTTTAATCTTATTTAAACCTTAAATTTAAATAAGTAAATTGATAAGTAAAAACTATGGAGATTAATACCATAATGAATAAATATTGTAGGGATTAAAACCTAAATCATTAGAAAATGTAAGAATTGATGTCATAAGGGTTACATGAAATAGAAGGGAAAAAAATCAAAATCCAAATTGATAAAAAATTATAACGATCAAAATCTTGTTTAAACCTACTTTTAGATAAATCTCTCTTCCTCTTTTAATTTAGTTTCTTGATTTTTCTAAATCTTAAATTTTGTCCTTGTAATAACATCATTGCACGATCAAACGACAAAGATAAGAAGAAATTAAATTTGTACCCAACAGTCTTCATGAATAGGAAACAAGAACGAATTCATACATACATATACATATACATACATATATATATATGAGGTAGGATCCTTTGACACCGGTGTCAAATTTGAAGTTTGACACCTCATCTGAAAATCGTTAGATAAAAAAAGATCAATGGTGTCACATGCTTACAAATCAGAGTCGTTAATCTTTTTTGATCTAATGGCTTTCAGATAAGGTGTCAAACTTCAAATTTGACACCGGTGTCAAAGGATCCTACCTCTATATATATATATATATATAAATATATATATATAAAATAAAACACTAAGTTATATATATAGAAAGATCAAACGTGAAAATATGCATACCTAATTAGGCTATCTTTAGATTCGAAGGGAAATGTGTGAACTTAATATTAAGATCTTCCCCTCTATGAGTTATTATTCTTGGAAAAGTTTATATGAAAATAGACTAGAGAGAAAACATAACAAAACCTAATCAGAATGTATGTCCATTGTATTCACCCATCATGGAATCTTGACCTAACAAAACCCTAGTCAAGATGTATGTCTAGTGTGTCCACTAATCATGAAATTTAGTCTCACACTAATAACTACATAACCAGATTAATTTTGAAATACTAAATTATATTAATTAATAAAGCCACGTAAGAAAAATTTCTAACAAAACTATCAAACAAGTAATTGTAATTACACGAACTAAGTTGCAAAGAAGAAAAATAAGAATTAAAATATAAGTGAATGGAAACTTTAATTATTTTAGATGACGTAAAGAATCATTTTAACACAAAATTTTAAGCTTGTAAGGGATAAGTTTTCAATGATTTTATATTACATCTATCTAACACACCGCTTCACATACGAGTCATTGGGGCTTAAAGTGTCGGTTAACATCAAACTTGTGATCCTATGATCACCTCAGCTCTGATACCATGATAAGCTACAAATTCAACTCAATAGCTTAAACTTATAAGTAACAGGCTTCAATAATTCTATATTACATCTCTCTAACAAATGAAATGTAAGTGACTATCACATTAAGTAGCCTTTACTATCACATAATTGAACTTAGTAACAAAGTTACAACAAGGTTCTTACGTACCTCCACTAGAAAATTTTCAACAATGGACTTATCTCTTGTCTCCACTAGCAAATGTTCAACAATGGACTTATCTCTTATGTCCACTAGCAAATTTTTCCATTGAAAAAAAATCTGAGTTTTTACGGTTTAGGGAACAAGTAAAACGTATGGATTTGGATACTCAAAGATGGTCAATAATTTTAGGTAGAAAAATTTACGTTACACAAAAAAAAAATCGGTCAGTTTAAGTGCGTATTGCCCGTATGCTAAAGTGATTGCTTCTCTCAAATAACTGAGGCACATTGTGGCTGCATATTCTAGTTTACTATAAAGCGAGAAAAAAGTGGGAATACATGTAGTTTTTTTTTTTTTTTTTTGAAAATATTCCAATCGGTCTTGCTTCGCAACTAATCCGATTCGAAGCGGGTCCAGAATTAAGGCTTTAAACCCCTCCCAAAAGTGGTACTGGGGAGATTCGAACACATGCTCTCACCCCACCTACTTATTTCCCATGCGCCAACTGAGCTACCACCATTTGATAGAATACACGTAGTTTAAATACCCTTAAGTACCGATTTCTCCACTAGAGATTGGAGAATGGACCTTGACTCAGAAAATTTTATTTATGTGTGTATATTTAACCCGAATATTTAGTTTCGGGGCAGTGGCTCCGAAAAAATATTTTTAAACAAAGTTTTAAATGCATTAAAAAATAAAAAAATATAAACAAACAGAGATTTATATCTCTCATATTACATGAACCAAATTTTTTGTCATGTTAAGAAAAAAACAAGACCAATTCATTGAATATGTGTCATCTCACTTTCTTTAATAGTATATAACTTGTCTTTTTTTTAACATGACAAAAAATTTCGTTCATATAAAATGAAGGATATAATCCTCAAACAACAAAAGAAAAGAAAACTTTGACTTAACATAAAAAAATAATCATCATCTTAATGATATAAAACCACTAAAACATAAGCAGTAAATAAAATATGTTTCTTTCTTAGTACCTATGCTTGTATTTCTGGCAATGCAGCCACTAAAATTACTCCTTGAGTGACATTCTTAATTAATTAAAAAATATATCTCTTCTTTACTAAAAAAAATATATGACCAAATTTATGTGTGCATTTACGCACATTGACAACCAAATAGGTCCGTCTATGTTGTGCCTGAGGAGCAGAGTTTCTTCACTACAGATGAGGGATGGGAACTTGTGCGGTAGGAACACATAGTTTCTTTCTCTAGGTCGCATTTTACATGCTTAGATTTCCAAAAAGTCCGTATATTGTCCATCATTTTTAACGGTTTATATTTGAATAAAATTTAATCCAATAACTCAGTTGTCAATATAGATTGAGTGAAGAGAGAACCTGAGTTTGATTTCCACCAAATACATCGTTAGAGGCAATGAGCTTTAAATGTGATAAGTCCATACTTGTAATTAATCTCGTAGCCAACTCAAAAAGTTGAAACTTATGAAAATAGGGGGCGACTCACCTCAAAATTATAATTAGGGTCGGTATAAAAAAATTTAATCCAATAAAATGCTACTATATATGCTTTAATAAGCTCAACGAAAGGAGAATATTAAGAAGAACATGTAATGATGCATGTACCAATAAGATAAAAAATAAAATATTCAAAAAAATATTTAAATTTAAGTAGTAATAATCAAAGAAAATATAATATAACATGGACTGAGATTATTTGTAATATTTTTCAAAGACTCTTAGATATTCCGTTAAAAAAATAAATTTATTACTAAGAACATGACATTTAAAAAAACGAAAAGTCCATCGAAACTCAAATGAATGAAAAGTAATAAAATAAAAATTAAATTGATGTATGATTTGTATTAAAATAAAGTGGAGGAAAACTTAGGGGTGTCAAAACGGATTGACACGACACGAATACATCAACACGAACACGACACGAATTTTTGTTCGTGTCAAAATCTTCAACACTGACACGACACGGATTTTTTGCTTGTTGACACGACACGACACGAATAACACGCAAAATAGGGGTCAAAACGGTAATTGACAACAAAATTTAAAAAAAATAGTTCAAAATTAAAAAATAAATAAAAAATAATACTAAAAAAATAAATAAAAAAAAATATGGGTCGACACGAACACGAATACCTCAACACGAACACAACACGAATTTTTTTACGGGTCAACCCGAACACAAATTTTTATGTCGTGTGGCGGGTCGACCCACGTGTCATAACCCATATTGACACCTTTCCGAAAACTAGGGGTTTATATATGGGAAAAAGTGTTTTGATATGCAATAAAAGATTAAATTATGTCATGTAATCTTAAAATGACTTGTTTCTCTCTTGATAATTTTATATAAGGCGTTTTGAAAATTTTGTTTCTCTTTTTTAACACGATTTTTAAAAAAATATTTTATACTTTTTTTTCCAACCCAAAAACGACTTTTTGTTTTTCTTTAAGGATTCTAGTACCCGTATTTGTTGTTTTTTTTTTTCTGATTCATTGTCCTATATATGTTTCAGAACTGAACCGAAAGAAGGTGAAGCAGAAAATTGTTTTTGAAGGTACACACTGCCTTTCCCGAATAAGGGAGATAATGTCCCCTCAGAAACAGGCAAAGGAAGCAATAGTCACAAACTTGGGTGGCACAGAGCATGAAGTTGGAAGGGAGGAAGAGGAGCAAGACCAGTCTATGTTTAGTGTCAAGAACATCCTCTGGCACGGTGGTTCTGTATGGGATGCATGGTTCACCTGTGCTTCAAATCAAGTAACATCACTAGTCTATACCCATTCCATTACCAAAACTTCATTACAAAAATGGGAAAAAGGTTTGTGCTTACATGTGTTCCTTTAACACAACGTGTTACCGGTACGATTTTGTTATAATATAAAATTTGCTTTTTTTCCTTTTCTTTAGTTACTTTAGGTGATGTGAAAAGAGAAAAAAAAGTAACTTTACATATTATAAAAATGTCGTACTCATAAGACATTGTATTAAACACTAAAAGGATATAAGTACAGACACTTGGCCCTAAAAAAAACACTCTTTTTTTTTTCTTCTTCTCCATTTTAGCTCATAATATTAACCATCCAATTAATGGGATTTTTTAGGTAGCTCAAGTGCTGTTGACACTACCATATTCTTTTTCTCAACTGGGCATGCTATCAGGTATCATGCTTCAGGTGTTCTATGGGCTCATTGGAAGCTGGACTGCATATCTAATCAGTGTCCTTTACATCGAGTATCGCACTATAAAGGAAAAGGAAAATATCAGTTTCAAGAACCATGTCATTCAGGTAGGTTTCGTTCTGTGCCTTAACTGAATCAATTCTGCTACCACTACAGGTGTTCAATAATCTTATACACTTATATTTAAGGGGGCGTTTGGTACAGGAGAAATTTTTATTTGTCCGGGAATCTCAATTTTCAAAAATATGATTTTCACGTTCAGTTTACGATAATACCTGAAAATTTAAAATTTAGAAAAATTCAGTTTCCCGGGAATCCCTCAAATTCCCGCGTACCAAACGCCCCCTAAGGGTTTTATAAGAGTTATGTTCTAGGAAAGATGATTGTGTTATATTATAGAGATTTGTTTTGCATGTCGTAGTTTTTCTTTTTTCAAAACATGCGGGTCCCACAAAATATTGTGTGTGTAAGAAATTTTTTGTGGTCATGTTAAATGATAGATATAATCCCCTATATTTAAATACAAAGTGATGCCCTTTTATTCAAATTTAATGAGAAAAATTATTATGATTTTATTCTTCTAACTTTTGAGAATTTGATATGTAAATTTATTTTAAATTTTATGATCTTATTATTTTAAGATTTTTTAAAAATAATACTGTAATTAAGTAATACGTTTAAATTTTTGAGAAATTGTAGATTTTATATAATTTTTTATTAAAATGTATATTATTTATCAATGGCTAATATGAAATCAAAATCAATTATTAAATAACGTAGATATATAAGATTGTAATATAAACTATAAGTTGAAAGAACAAAGTTTTCAAATTTATATTATAGGTCTTGAACTATAGAAACTATTTGTTGGATACATTTTGCAAATAGCAAATAAGCATATTATGGGAGAGCGAAAGAAAAGAATTCAAAAGCGAATTTATGAAGAAAAAAAAGATACTTGGTGCTGTATGTGCTCAATATAAATGCATATGATTGTTAGTTGACTGTAAATGGGGATTGAGAATTAATTGTGTTAAGAGAACCAGGAAGGCAGGAAGGAATATAAATTAATATTAGGCACAAAATAAAGGAAGTGAGAAACTATATAATATTTTATAATTATATTAACTTTTTGCATATTTTTAATAGGAAATCAAATGAATAGGTAAAACTTAATCGGCATGTGAGAGGTGAATATATATTAAACACTTCTTTTTAAAATTGAGAAAACATGTAGGTATGTTTTTCCTTTTCTTAATTTTCAATTTTTTATATTTTTTATATCATTCATAAAGTTATGTAGCTTGTGAAATTTGCGTACCTTAAGTTCCTGATAAGTTATTATATTATTTATACGTAACGTAGGTAGATCTAAATATTTTTCCCTTAAATGAATTAACTACTTAAAATTTTAGGATCCACTAAGATAAATGAACTAACCACCCAAGATTTTACCCTTTACGGTATAGCCAACCCGGTCCACAACTGGTTTCTAGAACAGTTTCCAAACACAGAAATTGGCTCTGTTTGATTATTGTTTTTAAAAGTAATTTTTTAGTTTTTAGAATAAAAAAATTAAAAAACTCGTTTGGTAAGACCTGTTTTATAAAAAATATTTTGAAAATTATAACTATTTTTTTGCTTTTAGAATCAAATTTAGAGAATATATCTGAATTGTTTTTGTTTTTTATTTTAATTTTTAACTTTCAAAAAGAAAAAAAATATAAAAAATAATTGTTTCCATAACTATTTTACAAAACAGTTTTAAAAACAAAAATATCATAACACAATCAACCTAGCCCTACTAAATTGCACTTTCAGTGGTTCGAAGTTCTTGATGGGTTATTGGGTCTATATTGGAAAGCAATTGGGCTAGGCTTCAACTGTACTATGCTCCTCTTCACAGCTGTGATACAGCTTATAGCATGTGCAAGGTAATTCAAGATCTTCTCTTCATTTCTGCGGGTAATTTTGGATTAGTTTTTATTTTGTCATAATGATTATATACGGTGTAAGTTATATTTTTTAATTTTTATTGTTAATTTTCCTTGTATTTAACACTTTTACTTTTTTAATTATATAAGTCATTGAAAATAAATGGATCCATAACCAATAAGAAGTGTAAAATTTTATATTATTATAGAAATGTAAGAATAATCTGATTTTTTTTTTTTTTTTAATGATTACAACTTTTTATTGCCTTTTTGATGAGAACAGTAACATCTACTACATAAATGACAAATTGGACAAAAGGACTTGGACCTATATTTTTGGAGCTTGTTGTGCTACTACTGTGTTCATACCCTCCTTTCACAATTACCGTATCTGTTCGTTTTTGGGTCTTGGAATGACCACTTACACCGCATGGTACTTGACTATTGCATCCATTATTCATGGCCAGGTAAATCACCAATTTTACAGTAACAGTTTTAATTTTTTTCTTTTTTCCTTTTTTTTTTTTGAGTAAACTCAGGATATCTGCATCATTTCATAAAATGAGACTATTTTTATATGGTTTGGAGTATAATGATTTTCACTACTGTTCTCAAAGTACTTATCATAGAAATCGAACCCATAACTTTATCAGTTGAACCCCACACTTGAGCTACATTCCACTTACCAACTGAGCTACATCTTAGAGTTACAGTAACAGTTTTTTAAATCTTTAAAAGTTGAAATCAAATCTTTATTATGGGCTAACATGTTTGCAAAATAAAAAATAAAAAAATGTTGCAGGTGGAAAATGTGACACACTCGGGTCCAACAAAGCTAGTGCTATATTTCACTGGAGCCACTAACATTCTGTACACATTTGGTGGACATGCAGTCACTGTGTAGGTTTCCCATAGTATCGTTATGTATCCTTCCTCATTGCTTGTTTCAATTAGAGAGTTTTTATAAACTAGGTTCATACATACTATACTATGTAGATTAAATCAATTACCAACTATATATATATATATATATATATATATATATATATATATATATAATACTAAAAAGACAATTAAAAGTATTGATTATGGGCAAACTGTGTAAATAAGTGAATTAATTACGATTTAATTTATGAATGAATTAAGCTAGTATTTTAAAAGAAAAAGAATTACTCTCATAATAATAGAAAGTAAAACTTAGAAGTCTTACTTTGAAGTCAAAAGAACTCTCCCTATATATAAAGGTGTAGACAATTAAAAGTATTAATTATGGGCAAGTTGTCTAAATAAGTGAATTAATTAAGTATTAATTTATGAATGAATTACTATCGAAAATAAAATATCAAAGTTATAAATATTATTAAAACTAATAATAGGGATTAATTATTACAAGTGTTTTTGAGGGAGGGGCTAACTATTAATACTAATAATATATTATTACTATAAGAATATTATTTTATACATATAATAAAAAAAAATAGGAAGGAGCGACCTCTCATATACTCCCCCGGCAATATGTAATATGGAATGAAGGAAACAAAATTATATAACAATATTATGAATCAATTTACCAAAGATAACAATAATAATAATAATAATAATAATAATAATAATAATAATAATAATATGAATCATACATGAAAACAATGGTGACGTATATATGTTGCAGGGAGGTTATGCATGCAATGTGGAAGTCTAAGAAGTTCAAGTACATATATTTATTTGCAACTTTGTACGTTTTCACATTAACGATTCCTTCTGCTACTGCCGTTTACTGGGCTTTTGGTGATGAGCTGCTTAACCATTCCAATGCCTTCTCTCTCCTTCCCAGAAGTTGTTTCCGTGATGTTGCTGTAATCCTCATGCTCATCCACCAGGTAAGCTTTTTAGTGCACACAATTTTTTACTTTTTTATTTTTTTGGTATAAAAATTATAAAATAAAAAAAAAAAAAAAACTACTCCGACACATTGTCTTGCATAGTTTTCTTTTTAATACTTTTTATTAAAGAAAGATAAACTTACCATTTTTTCTCTATTTCCATTTTCAATAAATATAGTAGGAATAACATAGTTGTGAAATATATATAATAATGAAATAGAAAAAATGAAGCTAAAAAAGTGTAGTAGTATCCAACAATAATTAATTGATGTCAAGTCCTATTTGGAAAACATAATTTCGGGATCAAATGTCAATGAATGCACTTCATATATACTTTGATCTACCCCACCCGGCATAAGGTCCTTAAGGGTCATTTGGAACAAAATCTTATCATTGTAACGTCTGGCCGCTTCAGGAATTAATGATTATCCCCACATACTAACACTAGACTTTTTAGTCTGCTTTTTTCTCACTCACACACTTCCCGAAAAACTTTCTAGGAGGTCACTCATCTCAGAATTGCTCCAAGTCAAGCACGTTTAACTATAGAGTTCTTCTGTTCTGGGCTACCGAAAAGTAGATGCATCTTGTTAGTATATAGGTAGTACCAATTAATTCTTATAAGCTATCACAAACAGTCTCATACCTGCACAGTCTTTGGACTCCCTCTCTTTCGGGTGTCGGTTCGATTCATCCATTCATGTGAGCTCCCGCTGGAAGCCTGTCAGGAGCCACTCCTTGTCCATGCCCTTTCGCACCGGCGATCACTCCCAGCCCTCGTCAGCGCTCGGGATGTTACATGCCCACTAGCTTCCGTCTGGTTCGTCCTCGAACCACACCGTACTGGAAGAGAGGCCCTGCTCTGATACCACTTGTAAGGACTGGCCGCTTCATGAATCAATGACTATCCTCACATACTAACATGAGACTTTTCAGTGTGCTTTTTCCTCACTCGCACACTTTCCGAGAAAACTTCTCAGGAGGTCACCCATCCCAGAATTACTCCAAGTCATGCACGCTTAACTATGGAGTTCTTCTGTTCCGGGCTACCGAAAAGTATATGCATCTTGTTAGTATAGGTAATACCAATTAATTCTTATAAGCTATCCCAAACTGTGCAGTCTCATACCTGCACAGTCTTTGGAATCCCTCTCTTTCGGGTGTCGGTTCGATTCATCCATTCATGTAATCCCCCGCTGGAAACCTGTCAAGAGCCGTTCTTTATCCATGCCCTTTCGCACCGGCGATCACTCCCCGCCTTCGTCAGCGCTTGGGATGTTACATGCCCACCAGCTTCCGCCTGGTTCGTCCTCGAACCACACCGTACTGGAAGAGAGGCTTGCTCTGATACCACTTGTAATGCCTGGCTGCTTCAGGAATCAATGACTATCTCCATATACTAACACGAGACTTTTCAGTGTGTTTTTTCCTCACTCGCACACTTCCCAGGAAAACTTCCCAGGAGGTCACCTATCCCAGAATTACTCAAAGTAAAGCACGCTTAACTATGGCGTTCTTCTGTTTCGGGCTACCAAAAAGTAGATGCATCTTGTTAGTATAGGTAGTACCAATTAATTCTTATAAGCTATCCCAAACTGTGCAGTCTCATACCTGCACAGTATTTGGAATCCCTCTCTTTCGGGTGTCGGTTCGATTCATCCATTCATGTAACTCCCGCTGGAAGCCTGTTAGGAGCTGCTCCTTGTCCATGCCCTTTCGCATCGGCGATCACTTCCTATCCTCGTCAGCGCTTGAGATGTTACAATCATTGAGGGTTTTATTTTTATTTTTTATCCGGAGGAGGTATAATAAAAATAATCACAAGTCATAACATTAAATATTGATTGAAATCAACTATATTTTATATGGATTTAGTGTTTCTACGGTTACGTAACATAAAATTATTTTCTACAATTTTAAAACAATTCATTTTGTATTTTGGGAAAATAAATAATTTTTTTTAAGAAAATTCATATTGCAAGGGCGTTTTGAATTTGTGAAATATACTATTCATAGAAGTGGTAAACTTAAATGGGTGCATCCAAAGCACAGCAAATGTTTTGGTTGAAAAATATATTTTTGGGATGATAAAATAGAATATTCTTACTACCAATATTGAATTTTCCCCTCTAATAAATGGGTGCAGTTCACAACATTTGGGTTTGCATGTATTCCATTGTACTTTGTGTGGGAGAAGGTAATTGGGATGCATGACACAAGAAACATTTGTCTGAGGGCATTAGCAAGGGTGCCAGTGGTGATACCCATATGGTTCTTGGCTATAATCTTCCCCTTCTTTGGACCCATAAACTCTGCAGTTGGAGCTCTTCTGGTTAGCTTCACTGTCTACATCATTCCTACCTTAGCCCATATGCTCACTTACAGAAAAGCCTCTGCAAGACAGGTAAATGCTCTTAACTCCCAACTATCTCTTAAACACCCTCAATTATCATGTTATGCTGCAGTTATAAATAATCATCTAAAGTTTCAAGTTCTGAAATAGATGTAACCGAGAGTTACTTTAGCCATTTTCATTGGTTATATGAGCTGTTAAAGATTTATCAGTTGCTGATTTTTGAATAACAGTGGAAGTTGGAATAGGTTATATTTACAAAAAATTTGTTTACAAACTATACTAAGTACTACGGGTAGTATATGCTCAAGTAGGATCTACTACCCATAATATATAGTATAATTTGTAAACAAAAAGTTTGTAAATATAACTCTGCTTGAAGGAGTTTGGAACAAAATCTCAGATATGAACCAGGTGCCCTTGTTATTGACAATCTTGTGTAATCCCTATTGCTATATCCTATTTGGCATCATGCTGCTCCTGTCTTGGGAATTCTCTGAGTAATGCAATGCTAGTGTAGTAGGGGCCTCCTTAGTGATCTTAATTTGCTTCATTTTGCAGAATGCTGCAGAGAAGCTTCCTTTCTTCATACCAAGCTGGACTGCAGTGTATGTCCTCAATGCATTCGTTGTGGTATGGGTTTTGGTGGTTGGATTTGGGTTAGGAGGATATGCTAGCATAACCAACATCATGAAGCAAATTAACACATTTGGGCTGTTTGCAAAGTGCTACCAGTGCAAGCACCCAACACCACCACACGCAGCAGCAGCGCCCCCTCGCGCCCATTACTGCGTACAGCTAGCTAACTCACCACAACATAATAGAGTTCAGCTGAAACTACTCTTTCTCACATCATACACCCTTTCAATTGATACGTGCTGGCTGTGTTTTTACTGTTTTGAATAAGTAGAGCTACTTGTATGTGCAAGCTTGACAAATAGCTCCAATAATCTCCATGTTCATGAATAATACATCAATTTCACTCTACAATTGAACGTTTACCTTTCTCGGTGTACGAAATTTCGCCTCAGTAATCAATTATGTTATGCTAATGCATTATGGAGCCCACAACTCTAATTCTCGATAGATCCGATCATCATCTTTCTAAATAGAGAATTTCATGATTTTGTTTTGTAGAGTGATGGGTCTTTCAAGATCATGAGGTGTAAAATCAGAACAGCAGAATTTAAGTCCAATGTCATCAAACCGTGACCAAAGGAATATGGTTACGGTTCAATTTCACGCAGAAGTAGCAAAAAGAGATGGAGCAGTTTCAATTCTTAGTTAAATATTAGGTATTCACAGAATAAATAAATTGTTTTTACGTTTTGTAAAGAATGAATATATCTTTAGAGAAACAGGTTAAAAGAAAAAAAGAAAGAGATCTTTTTCGAATAATCAAGTAAAAGATAATATCCTCATAAATTTAAATTGAACAAATTTAACTACTGATTGCAGGGGCAGGAGTAAAAGGTTCTCAGTAGAATTTCTTTACCAACGCCATATAATAACCATCTCAACCCCTATCCCACTGCCACCCACCCCAATCCACCGGCGTGTGCCTGGGTTCCAAATAAAATCAAAATTTACCTAACATATTTTAAGCATTACAACCAGTTCTTCCAATCACACACACTCGATAGAATACACCAGAAATTGCAAGGCATCCCAAGCACATAAAGTTGGACGCTCACCAGACTTTTACATTCTGTCTTCTCTCCTCCTTGGAGCACAAGTAATGATTTCATCAACTCTAAGGATCATCTCAGCTGCCTCAGTTGAAGATAGCAATACAGCCTGCTTGACTTTGAATGCTTCACATATTCCCCGTTCAGCCATGTCTCCAACCTTCCAAAAATACAAAACAAGTCAAAGGTTAGCCGAAAAAATAAATAAGGAAGCAAGTCGAACTAGTAGCCTACAGGATACTTTTCTAAGACAACACAAACCATGGTAAAATCCATCCCTTCATACCTAAGCCATAAGCTCAAGTTAAAAAAAGGTATGTATCCTAACTCCAACAGCGTTAGGCACATGCCCCTGGATGGACATATCCACTAGGGAGTCAATCTTACTTAGAAATGACGTAAGATACGTACTCATATTGGAAATTTCAATGAGACATTTCATGTTATATGCCAAAAATCAATATATGACCAGTGAAAGGGGCAATCAGAAATAGATCTGCTTCCTATATAAAAAGTCCTCAGTAAAACATTATATAATCAGGTCAAATAACTTCGAAGATGCTCGTGCAAGTAGCAACCCCACCCAAGGGAAAAGGGAAACACTAGCATATTCATACATCAACATGAAGCATTTTTGAAATCGTGCTCACTCTAGTAAATCTACCAATTTCTCAGATTCAGTACTTACAGAACCAGAGATAACATCAATTCCAGCAGTACATCCCTCCTTCTGGTGCTCTGCACGGAGCTGAGAAATCAACTCAGCACTGTCCAAACCAGCATTATCAGCAATGATTGTTGGGATAGCCAAGAGTGCCCGGGAGAATGCCTCCATAGCAAGCGACTTCTTTCCAGGAGTTTTCCTAGCCAATTCATCCACTTCCTTTGCCATCACCATCTCAGGCCACCCACCTCCAAGCAGCACCCTGCTGTCATTGACTGTCTGAGATAGCACACACAAGGCATCATGCAATGACCTCTCAGCCTCATCAAGAACATGGTGGCTGCCACAATAGTAGATATGTCAAACTTAATGCGCACACAACAATAAATCATTCAAGTCTGGTAAAAAACAGATGTCTACTCATGCATAGAAAACACTCCTATACGTGTCACGCTCACAGTACACTGATTAAAACAATAAAAAATTGGATAGGACTACATAAAGTTATAAACTAACTTGGCATGAAGATACATGAACACATGCATAAAAGCAAGTACTATCCAAAATTCTAGCAGTCTATAGTTAAATCACTGAGCTCAATCAGCATCATTTTATCAAATATTCTGAAAGAAAAATAACAACACAAATTTTTAGATTCTAGATGTTAAATTTCAATAAATCAGCATGGCAACGTAACGGGTAGTGTAGTTAGTATTAAGCAATTCATATCAAGTACAATGATCCACCTAGAATGGATAGCGGCTATAGTTGACAGGAGCAAAAAATTCTAATCAAACCGTATTGCCAGAATATGAAAACCTCAGATGACTGAAAAATTATGATTTGAAGTAATATAGTATCAAGATTAAAATGCCTTAGTATGTAAAAGAACAACATTGAAGGAATTTTCAATATATTAGAATAAAAGTACCTAGCGCCTCTCAGTACTATTGTACATGCCTGCCCCATAGCAACACCAGAAAAATGAATCAGTTTATCCTCGCCAATCATAATCTCTTCAATAAGGTCGCAATGCCCAAGCTTAACAGACTCAGGATTGTCAAAGGTTGATGCAATATCACCACCAGTTACCAGAGCCAGACGCTCAATACCATCAAAATCAGCATGCTCAATAGCCAATATTCCAGCATCAGCAAAGAGCTCCTCTGGAAAATTGTAAATCAACTGTCTATTAACAAAACAATTGATACCATGGCCTATTATCTTCTGCACCTTTTCCCTCATTTTCTCCTTTTCAGCTCCTTCAATCTCAGCAACTCTAGACATGGAATCAACACGAACACGTGCACCATATATCTTCACCTTGTCTGTGTCCATGGCAGTGTTTGCCACCAGTATCTTTGCATTCTCTATGCGTTTGGGTTGTCCAATACCGATTTTCTTGTCAAGAATGAATCTGAATATAAATATGAATCCAATTCAGAAAGATTATCTTTTACCCAGAATAACGTGAGGATAAGCAATACTGAAAAAGAACAAAAGATTATTGATGCAAATGCTTCATTATTCAGGAGAGTGCAGAAGTTGATAATCATTTGAGTTTGTACAAATTCCTTGAATAATGCCAATGCAACTCAATACAAAAAGATACACCAGGATTCAAAAAAGGGTTGAAGCATTCCATACTTGCAAACTACAAATAGTCAAACTTTTTCAGAAATATTACCCTTCATCTAAAAAAGAGTCCTTCAGTGACCCTCCAGGTTTTTTTATAATCTGGATAGATTCTAAATTAGTGCTTCCCTGCAGTTTAAAACATTACCATTAAAAAGTAAGATACAAGGAAATGAAAACATGAAAAGAAATGTACTTAACTTTATAACAATATATCTCAATATGATACAGAATCCTTTTGAGTCATAATGGCTCCGTGCAAAGTTTACACAGAAGAAGAAAAAATTGAATAACTATATAATAAGTCAACTAAGAAAACTCCACACTCATGGACCATTTAGACAAAAGGAAAAAGCCACTGCTCCAAATGAAAAACTGCTATAACCCAACAAAACTATTACCAAGTTCAACTCATCATTTCACTGAAGGTCTTTATATACCATTCCAAACTCGCTGTGTATGCAGAAAAATATATAGATCAAAATTGAATTGAATGTGTCTCTAGACTGTATATCTTTGAAACAAGACCCAAAGGAGAAAACTAGGCCAACAGTACAGGCACTATCTGCTAAATCCACCTAAACTGAAAAATGTATTCAGTAGGGTAGTCGCAGTTCACCTTTAGTCTCATTACAGCATCAACAGCTAATTTTGCAAAATGCTCCTTGTCCTGGGAGAGAATCTTGGAGCTCAAAGTAGTCATTGCAATGTTCATCAAGTCTGACCTGAATTTCTCTGCAGATTCCAGTAAATTCATGTATAAGATATTAAGATGCAAGAATGCCTCCATACCTGGCCCTAGTAATAAAACACCAAAAACAATCCTATCCAAAAGGGAAAACAAATACCAGCATCTGCTTTGTTGTCCACGACCTTCTGTAACAACGCATCACGAGCACACTCAGCTGCCATTCGGAAACCTAAAAAGCATAACCATTAATATCAAGCACGCACATGTTAATCACAAAGGCATCTTTGGTAACAAAATCATTTCAAAACACATGGAAGACAGAAAACCGCAGCCCCCAAGGGCAGGGCGGGGGGGGGGGGGGGGGGAAGATATTCATGTAAAACCCATCAGAATTGTAAATTGTTTTTTAAGCACCACCATCTAACATTTATGCTTTATGTTTCTGATGCTTCCCACAATTTCCCCTCCTTATTACTCATCTTTCTGGAAGAAGGAAGAGTCCACTAACAGCAAAACCATACTAAAGGAAGTATAAACGAGGCAGCCTTGGAAAGAAAACAAAACATTGAGTATAAAAAATTTCATTGAGTGCTTCTATCACAACCACTTCCATCACAACCATCAATAAATTGATGTTTAATTTAATTTGAAAGCTGGAATGAATAAATTTTTAAGACAAGTAGGTTTTACCATTTTACATTTATTTGCTTAATAAAAATTTAAATATGTTAGACATCAAAAAAGGATCTACTATACGAAATACAAATTAATAATGGATAGATAATAAGGAAGATGTTCTTTCTTTACCAATGTAATTACTTTTGAGATAAACTGCCTAATACTCAAATGTAAACAGTAAAGTTGTCATTCAAAAGTTTGTCAACGTGAAAAGACAACAAAATTTGCATCATAGAGCAGTTGGACCACTGTTGAAAAGCAACGAAATGAACCTGATATTATCGTCATCGGATGAATCTTAGCAGCAACCAGCTTTTCTGCCTCCCTTAAAAGTTCTCCAGCCAATACAACAACAGAGGTTGTTCCATCCCCAACTTCATCATCTTGAACTTTAGATATATCTAACTTTCATTAAGGATGGTTGTTTTAGGATTTGAAACTTAGATAGTTACATTGCAAAGAAAAATCCACATAAAACCCTCATCAGGAGCCGGGTAGGTATTATGTTGAGCACAAAAATGCTTGCCATCTAAACGATAAACATGTACCACATGACATATACCCATTGGTTAAAATTATTGAAAATTCTGCCTAATACAAGATTAATGATATTCAACATATTCTCTAAAGATGCTGAAGCATTTGAAGACAAATTCAAGACCAATGTAATGAGTTAGCACAAATTCATCACCCGTCCATTTATTGTCAGAATTCAGGAAGTCAGACTAAGGCCTGTTTTCATTTTGAATTTGAATGTTACCTTTTAAGACCAGCCTAAGCCCAGATATGGAAACCTCTGGATGTCTACTTTTTAGATTAATAAACCTTGTACTTTCGTAATGCACTGTCAGCAGAGTGTCTAGTAAAATCAGAATTCCAAATTTAGCAAAATGACGTTGAAACTTTTATCTTCTTGCTTCTCGCCGAACACAATTTATTTTTAATTATCTATTTCGCCATGATTGGAGGAATGATCCAAAGCTATTTTGTTTTACTTGTCCACTTTTCTATACCCAAAAGGATGTTTCAAGGCTGTCGACTCATATGTTTCTCATGCAACAAGACTTCTAGGGTGATCATTGAGAAATCTGGAGCGCTTTTTTTGCTTTCCTCGCTAGTTCTGCATGAATTTGATGAGTTACATTCAGTGATTAACTGTATCTTAGCATTTTTGCATCTTTTTGAGGGATTCAAAAAGGAGGTGAGTGCATCTTGGTCTGTATCTCTAAGGTTGTAGGTTCCTTAGGCTGGTTGTGGCCTTTAATCTATCATAAATCCTGACCTATATTTCAGTTTTGTTCTAGAAAGACATTTGCTTTAGGTTGGTTCAATGTGTTCCCTTGGGACTAGGAGCTTCTCATGTGCTTCTAAAATTTCAAAACCTTGACTTACTTCTCACTTTGGAATCATTGTGTTATGAATTTTCTACAGTTAAATATTATTGATTTTAGTTTCATGCCCTTCAATAACATGTACAGGCATTTCATATCAGCTCTCTCCAAAATCCTGTATCATCCAACAATTTCTAAGCTGATTTCAACACAACATAAAAAATGATAAGGATACCAACAAGGACTTTAGCAGCTGGATTGTCAATATGGAGGGACTTCAAGATTGTAGCACCATCATTAGTTACGGTAACTTCACGTCCTCTACCTGTTGACTGCAAAATTTTATCCTGCAGTTATCACATCCAAGATATATGATTTAGTTAGGCGTAGAAAATAAAATCATTTACCAGCACATTTAATGAGTGAAGAGATTTTACCATTCCTTTTGGCCCTAAGGTAGTCTTCACCAAGTCAGCAATAGCCATGGCTCCAACAAAAGATGCCTGCACAAGACCAAAATATACAACACATGTAATTAGAGTTAAGCAACTTTCCCCAGACTCATAAAAAAGTATAATGCATGGAAATATTTGCTAATACAGATCAGAAGTGTGTATATTAATTTTAACAAGCGAAAAAACACAAAATCATAACAAGCTCACCATTCTGGCCCGCTCTCCTTTTTCTTCACTGGCTTCATCTTTAAAAATTCTATCAATCTATGGCATTCACCACGCAAGAAATTGTCAAAAGGGTAAAAAAAGAATAACAAAAGGGACAAAAAAGCAAAATTAGTAGCAAGTAACTTACCGCCATTATGGGAATCCAAATGTGGTCACCTGAATAGAAAAATATATCCTGTCACACAATGAATCATGAAAAAGGTATCTATATTCTACATAATAGAGGGAGGAGCTAAGCTAGTGCAGTAAGGGGACCAGGCCAAACTTGAAAGCGATAATAATAATAATAATAATTATTATTATTATTATAAAATTACATTGAAAATAAAAATAAAATATAAAGGTTTGGAGGCTAAGGCCACCTCAACCTAAGAGGCACTGCCCCCTATATATATTGGGCTTGATTACATTATACTTTTTGATACTATCATGGACTGCATTTACAACTGGAACCAATCAAATGACCAATTTGTGCTGTCTCGAGCAAGTGAGAGGAGTAGCTTATTAGTCATTAAATCTTACATGAATGGTCAAAATTAAAACATAAAATCATGTGACCTTTAAGTAACTTCTAAAGTTAACCAAGGTCGATATTTGCCCTTTTCACCTCATAATAAACCACTCCACTCACAATATATATCAGTCAGTTTATAGTTATAACTAAGCAGACTATAAACTGAGAGATTTTTCCTGCACCACAATCTATCATCAAGCTACTAGAATACAAATTTTTTTTTTAAAAAAAAAAAAACTAAGTGTAACACTAAGACAATGAATAAATAAATAAATAACCCACTACACCTAAAGGCCATTGAAGAAAACCTTAATCAGTTGCAGCTGATCCTAGGTTAAGCACTGCAAAAGCAATTCTTAGTTCTATCGACTAAAGCATTCTTAACTCTAAATAAAAAAAACCATATCGTCCTATCAAAAGAAGAAAAGAAACCATCAGATTTTGGGTCAAAGATCCTGCAACAGAAAAACATTGAAGCAACAGAAATAGCATGGAATTTTTACAAACTTGAGAAATGGAATTAGGTACGGAGCAACTGAGAAGTGAAGAAGAAGTTTTGATGCAATGCAGAGTTCGCGAACGAAGAGAAAATGAAGATTTGAAATGCATAAAATGCTTAAATTAAACAGAGAGAGAAGCACTAACCGAGAAAGAGGGTAGGGTTCGCGAGAGAGTGGAACTGGAAATGCTATGTGAGAGAGAGAGAGAGAGAGAGGGTTTGGGCCGTTTGGGGTTAAGAGTATGATGGGTTTATAAAGACACTTAAACGACATCGTTTCTAATTTCCATCCATCCGCTCTTTTTTCCTGTGCTTTGCGCTTATTATATGTATAATGCTCCGTTATACAGGGATTCCTATTTGGTTAAGATTAAAGTTGTGTTTCTTTTCTAATTAAAAATAAAATTGTATTAGTTAGTGAAACTGTAACTCTTTTAAGTTTATTCTTAATTTTTATTTAAGTCTATTGGTAAGTAGTTAAGTACTAAGTATCATGATTTAATTGGGCCTGCTCAAAGTTAAGATCTTGGCCCATTACAAATAGTTTTCTTTGCAGGACATGCCTTAACAATTCGGGGGGATCAAATCTCTTGTATGACATGCCTCTGACACATACCTTTAGTATCTACTGGTATCACGTCCTCTCTTTAAGAATTAAACTCATGACTTTGACTCTTATGGGACGTTTGGTACAGGAGAAATTTTTATTTGTCCGGGAATCTCAATTTTCAAAAATATGATTTTTACATTCAGTTTACGATAATATTCGAAAATTTAAAATTTAGAAAAATTCAGTTTCCCGGGAATCCAGCCAAATGCCGCGTACCAAACGCCCCCTAGCGTTTGTTGGATAGAGTACTTTTTTTTATACATTGAGAAATTAAACATAAAACTTATTATATAATTATTCACACCTCTCGTCACTAAATTAATCTTGTTGAGAAATATAGTCCTACATTGAGTGTATCGGCAACTAATGTGAAGTTTATAAGGACTTGGGCACTCTTACCCTCTGAGCTAGCTTTTGAGATGGTGACCTCAAGGTTCTTAACATGGTATCAGAGCGTTCGAAATCTCACCGCCTCCCACTTTCTTTGTAGTGGAATTTCCACATGTAGGTGAGCTTGTAACTTTCTTTGTAGTGGAATTTCCACATGTAGGTGAGATTGTATGTTGTCCACCCTTCAAGCCCAGTGGGCTCTCGTGTGAGGGGGCGTGTTGAGAAATATAGTCTCACATTGAGTGTATCGGCAACTAATGTGAAGTTTATAAGACTTTGGGCACTCCTACTCTTTGAGCTAGCTTTTGAAACGGTAACCTCAAAGTTCTTAACAAATCTTAATAGCTTTGTTGGATAGAGTACTTAACATTAAGCTTAAAGATATAGCGATTAGTGAAGCTTTTTATTTATTTATTTATTTATTTTTGCAACCTGTCGAAGATGCCCAAGTATAGGTCCGCTCTCATAAAGAAATCTTTCATTGAAGCTGTTTCATGAATTAGAGCAAAGGCATCAAGCCCTTCTATGTTTATAGCTTTTCATAGCACATGGTCCTTTGAATCAGCATCTTTTAGCTGGTACAGACCCGGTTAAAAACAATTGGTTAGATCTTGTCAATGTTCTAAATAATTAAGAAGTTTTTTTTATTCAGTATTAATTTTAGCCCAAGTGATAAAGCATGTTACTTTACCCGTAACTCAAATTTCTTTTTATGTCTTACAACATATGAGAAATAATAAATCCTCTTTTTATAGCTTATCTTAAATTAAAAAATAAAAGGGTTTGGTCGTTCAATTCCTCCCTAAAGAGAATGATATCTCAAAGAATAAATGAGAAATGAGTGGTTCATCCCTCACTAAACTGGTTTTCAAAGAATAATAGCTGCCTCGATACAATGAGCTATCGCTCAAAGGGCAAAATTCAATGCACAAAACTTTAATTTTTTTTTTTCAAGATATTAATTGGTGTCCGAAACTCTAACAAACCCGCCTAATTTAATTTTGAATTTAAGCATCTCCATCGTCTTCAAGAGTTGTTATTCTTGAGTGGTGGGAGAGGACCTCGGTTCGAATCCCACCAACACCATCTGGGGAGGGGCATAAGTACCGTAATCTTTGGACTCGTACCCGAACTCTGGATCAATCTCATAGGCGGCTCAAAGAGTCGAACCCGTGGGGATACCGGGGGATTCTTATTCGCCTCAAAGAGATAATTAAGATCAGTTTCCAAAAAGAGTTGTTATTCTTGGAATGGAACTTACTATGTTTTTTACCCTTAAATATTTACAAGAAAGTATTTCTCACATTCAAAATTGTGATCTTCTAGTCATAATTAAGCAAGGCTCACTCTCAAAGGACTTTGCATATTTAAATTAATTTATTTTAATGCCAAAAAAAAATTTAATTAAAAGATTTAAGGGAAAGCCTCTAAAAAAGTGATTAATTTTTCAAAAGAATTATTTATCAAACATGCTACTAGTCTGTGTATGCAAAGTACAAATAGATATGGAGATAAAGGGTATTCCAGTCTAGGTGAGAAGTAAAAAGTCACATAAATTCTGGGAACCCAACATCCAATAATGTAAATTCCAATTATTTCTGTGATATGCCTTTCTAAATCCACTTTTAACTAGCTTGTAACCTTTCTTTTTGCTCATCGAGTGAAAAACCTCTTCAACTATAACAAAGTTATCTGAACTGTGCCTCGCGGGAATGAAGCTACACTGATTGGGAGCTATAAGAAAATCCAAGTGATATTTCATTCGGTTGGCAATAACCTTCGTAATGATTTTAACAGCCTTCGTGAATGTAAATTTATCCATGCATATTAATAGATTATTACGAGTTACATAAATTGATATGATATAACAGAACATTACTATGTTGTACTAAGGAAGCCCATAACTATATCACTACTACAAATTAAAGCTAAGACAGAAAATACTGAAAATTCTAATAGTTGGAGAGTACTGAAGCTAGCGTGCACAGGCCTTGTGTATGCAATTTTGAGCAGCATCAAACTTAATTGCATTAACATCCAAAAGAACACTGTCTAGCTACTAGGCTATGCTTCAAAGCTGTTATTATTAAAGCCGAGACCTTAGCATAAATTGACCCTCAGCTACTAGTCTTGTTTCTGTTAACACTGGTGTTGCTCCACCATCAACATTGTTACCTGCAGGTTCAACTTTCCCAGTACTGGAGTTGGAAGTACTTGTGACTTTCAATGTGTATACTGCATCACCAAGAAAATAATACACTTCTAGTCACGGACTTAGATGGGTACTGAAATATGGAAATTTCATGAATAATTAAGCCAAGTCAAAATGTTGAAATTGATCCAAGGAACTAATGAATCAAGTGATTAGTAATGTAAAACTGGTCTAGTCATGTTATTGTATTCTTAATACCCTCCAACATCTTATCATGACTTTTTGACTAAAATTCTCCAAAATAAAATTTCTTCAAATGCAAACTGACCTGGTGGAGGGGAAGTGGAAGTTGGGGTGAGCTATAGGATCTGCTCACAAACAGCTGAAATTTGACACTACCTGTTGGGTTCTCCTTAAAAGCAGAAATCAGCAAATTAGGGAGAGGTAAGGCAGGGACTTGTTGGTCTAAGGTTGATAAGGGTGCTTCAGAATTGTGCTTAAGCTTCTTGTGGTCATGGTCTGCATCTGCACCAGAAGATGGGTAACCAAGTTGTTTATCCACAAACATGCTGAAAGAATTGTGTCTTTTCCTTTGGTTCGGTCCATGATCTTCCATGCTTCAAGATGAGGACTCAATTTTTCAATATCTAAGTGTCTGTATGGATTAGGACTTTTGACAAGAAAAGAGGTTAAGGTATTAAACATTAAAACATTTTATTCAAGCTTAAATAAACCAAAGAATTTAAGATATTGTAACTTTACAGATTTTGTGGAAGAATAAATTGCTGGGGTTGAGATTTCATCTCCCATAAATCAAGGGACTTTTAGTCTAACTGCAATAGTTGTCAATGTTCGACAACTTTATTCTCTTTCTCGAGCCCATCCTTTGGGGCGTAGAGGAGGGAAAAAAAAGTTTTGGAAAATCTGGTATCAAATTTTTTTTCCACAGTAAGTTAAGAAAAAGTGTTTGGTAGGACAAATTTTTTTTGAAAAAAAAAGTTATTTTTACTGATGTTATATTTGTTTAATTGTAAAATATTGATGGAAATCTGAACTGAAATAACAAAATTATCCATTTGTACACATTTATTGATATATTATATAAGAGCATTTTGTCTCAAAATATGAAAATATATTTGATGCACTTGAGTCACCATAAGTCATCATAATTGTCATTTAGAGGGGTTTTAAGGCCTTTTATGAATTTTAATAATTGCAGACGTTTCAGTTTGCATGACTTTATGTTTGGTTTATGATTATGTCTGTTTTGAGTCAGTTTTATTTCTGTTTTGTGTCAGTTTTAATATCATTGATAGTCCTTTATTGTTGTTTACGTTATGTATTGCCTGATTAAAAAGGCTTTGTAGAAGGATGTGAAGGGCAGACTTTGATTTGTTGAAGAATAATAATATAGCAGAAAACTTCTGCATTTTCCTGAAAGCCTACTTTCCATATAATTCTGCATCATTTGGTATCAGAGCTCAGGTTGCCTTAAAGATGGCTGAGCAGGAAAATCGCGGAGGTCGTGGTCGTGGTCGTGGACGAAGAGGTCGTGGCGGCAGAGGACGCGGTCAACCTACCGATGACGATTATTATACTGATGCGAGAGATGCTGAAATTGAGGAAAAGGACAGACGGATCCAAGAACTCGAACAACTGCTTGCAGAGGCACAGTTGCACGGGTCAGAAGGGAGACAAGAATCTGAACTGTCATCTCTAGAGGAAGAGGAGGACGAAAATCCATTTTTGAACCGCGAAATACCAAGGAGAGGTCGAACCGGTGATCAACCCTTCACTTCCAATTTTGGGATGAAGATCGAGATTCCAGAATTTGAGGGATCAACTCACCCTGACGTATTCATCGACTGGTTACACACCATCGAGAGGGTTTTTGATTTAAAAAACCTCACAGATGAGCAAAAGGTGAAATTAGTGGCAATCAAATTGAGGAAGCATGCCTCAATCTGGTGGGAACATGTCAAGAAACAAAGAATCAGAGATGGAAAGTCTAAGATTCAAAGATGGGACAAGATGAAGAAATTGTTGCAGCACAAATTTTTGCCTGCTCAATACAGACAAGAAGCCTTTATTGAGTATCACAATTTCAGGCAACGTGACCTTACAGTGGAACAATACACCACTGAATTTGATCGTCTTCGAATGCGTTGTGACATGGTCGAAGAAGATGAACAAGTGATTGCTCGATATCTAGGTGGATTACGGGATGAAATTTCTGATGTTGTGTACTTACAACAGTATTGGTCTTATGAAGATGTGTGCAAACTGTCCTTGAAGGTGGAAGGACAATGTAAAAGAAAGGGTGACCGTTCGAAGTTTCAATCAAGATTTCCTAGAAAAGAATTCGGAGCTAAATCAGTGAGTTCTTCAGCAACTTCACCTGCTGGAAGGAGTTCTATGCCTCAAAAAAATATTCCCAACAAGGAAGGGTCGATCAAAGGATGTAGTACAGGAAAGAGGTGTTTCAAGTGCCAAGGAATTGGACATTTTGCTGCAGATTGTCCAAATAAACAGATTGTGACATTTGCAGAGGCTCCAATTTTTGATGAAGAACCAATCTATGACAATGTCGATGAACAAGAAGAAGCAGAATCTGAAGAGGTGGGGATTGTCTATGCTGATACCGGAGAATCACTAGTCGTTCGGAGGGTCTTGAATGTGGATATGGTGAATGATGAAACATGGCTTCGACACAATATTTTCCACACCAAGTGCACCAGCAGGGGAAAAGTATGCAGTGTGATTATAGACAGAGGGAGTTGTGAAAACGTGGTTTCTACCACTATGGTAGAAAAATTGGGGCTGAAAACAGAAGAACACCCACAACCGTACAGGCTGTCTTGGCTAAAAAAAGGGAATGAGGTGAAAGTAACCAAAAGATGCCTAGTGTGTTTTTCAATTGGGAAAAGATATTCAGATGAAGTATGGTGCGATGTCATTCCTATGGATGCTTGTCACATTTTATTAGGCAGGCCATGGCAGTTTGATAGGAAGACAAAACATGATGGTTTCAAAAATACTTACACCTTTAAGAAGGATGGCCACCTTATTACACTAGCACCTTCAGATTGGAGGAAGGAGGCGAAGAATTCTATGCTGTCCAAGGCAGAATTTTTAGAAGAAGTCATTGGTGCAACTGAGATATTTGCACTAGTGGTGATAGTAGGAAACGATAATGGTCCACATATTCCCTTGAAGATTGAACCTATACTGACAAAATTCGCTGATGTAATGCCAGGGGAGATGCCACCAATATTACCGCCTATGAGAGATATTCAGCATTGCATAGACTTTGTTCCCGGAGCAGCCATTCCAAATAAGGCAGCTTACAGAATGAGTCCCAAAGAACATGCTGAGTTGCAGAAGCAGGTACAAGAATTGCTTAAAAAAGGGGCGGTCCGCGAAAGCTTGAGTCCTTGTGCAGTACCAGCATTATTGGTTCCCAAGAAGGATGGGTCATGGCGAATGTGCATTGACAGCAGAGCTGTTAACAGAATCACCATCAAGTATCGTTTTCCTATTCCACGTTTTGATGATCTGATTGACCAACTTCATGGCGCAACTATTTTTTCTAAAATAGACTTGCGTAGTGGATATCACCAGATCAGAGTTAGGCCTGAAGATGAGTGGAAAACAGCCTTCAAAACAAGAGATGGTTTATATGAATGGATGGTGATGCCATTTGGGTTGAGTAATGCACCAAGCACCTTCATGCGACTAATGAACCAGGTTTTTCGATCTTTCATTGGTCAATTTGTGGTAGTCTATTTTGATGATATTTTAATATATAGTCCATCTGTTGAACAACACTTGGTCCACTTGAGAAAAGTTCTTGAAACATTGCGTGAGCAGAAGCTATTTGTTAATGTGAAGAAGTGCCATTTTCTCACCTCAAGCGTGACCTTTTTGGGTTACATTATCTCAAAAGATGGTATTCAGATGGATCCAACAAAGGTTGAAGCAATTACAGGTTGGGAAACACCAACAAGCATTCATGAAGTCCGAAGCTTTCTTGGTTTGGCTTCCTTTTATAGGAGGTTTATTAAAGATTTTAGCTCCATTTCGACACCAATTTCTGATTGTCTTAAAGGAAACAAGTTTCTATGGACTATGGAGGCGGAAGCTGCGTTTCAGATCTTAAAGGTTAAGGTAACTGAGGCCCCTGTTCTAATATTACCTAATTTTTCTGATGTGTTTGAAGTGCATTGTGATGCTTCTGGAGTAGGAATTGGGGGTGTACTAAGCCAAAAAGGGAAGCCAATTGCATTTTTTAGTGAAAAGTTGAATGAAGCCAAGAGGAAGTATTCGACGTATGACAAAGAGTTTTAAGCTATAATTCGAACTTTGGAACATTGGAGGCATTATCTTCTATCTAAGGAATTTGTCTTATATTCAGATCATGAGGCATTGAAGTATATCAACGGGCAGCATAAGCTCAATGCTAGACATGCGAAATGGGTAGAATTTCTCCAATCTTTCAGTTTTGTTATTGTTCATAAAGCTGGAACTTTAAACAAGGTGGCTGATGCTTTGAGCAGAAAGCATTCTTTGTTAACTACTATGCAGGTGACTTATGGAGGAAGTGCCAAATTGGACCCTATCAGCAATTTCAAATTGTAGAAGGGTTCCTTTTTAAAAATAACAAATTGTGCATTCCTCAATGTTCATTAAGGGCAGCCATTATACTTGAAGGACATGCTGGTGGCCTAGCAGGACACTTTGGTATTGACAAAACCAAGGCGCTGATTGGTGAGCACTTTTATTGGCCACAGATCGAATCTGATGTGACCAAATTGGTTGCAAGATGCAGGACCTGTCATTTAGCAAAAATGACAAAACAAAATAGTGGCCTCTATATGCCACTACCAATTCCAACCGCTCCTTGGGAAGATATTAGCCTTGATTTTGTACTCGGCCTACCGAGAACACAACGCAACAAGGATTCTGTTATGGTGGTAGTAGATAGGTTCTCTAAGATGGCACATTTTATTCCTTGCAATAAGACTTTTGATGCTTCGCAAGTAGCTAAATTATTTTTGCAGGAAATAGTCAAACTTCATGGTGTTCCAAAAACAATTACATCAGATAGAGATGTGAAGTTTGTGAGTCACTTTTGGCGTACTCTATGGCGACTAATGGGGACCAAATTGCAGTTCAGTTCTTCACACCACCCGCAGACAGATGGTCAAACAGAAGCAGTAAATCGGAGCTTAGGTAACTTGCTGAGGAGCTTAATAGGAAACAATCCCAAACATTGGGATTTGGTACTACCACAGGCAGAATTTGCCTACAACAGATCCCAGCACCGCACTACTGGCAAGAGTCCTTTTGAGATTGTCTATGGGCGTGCTCCAATTACACCAGTAGAACTATCACCTTTGCCAATTCAGAAATATTTTAGCTCCGATGCAGAGGAACATGCTAAGCACATCAAGGAACTCCACTCTCAAGTTCACAGTCAAATTCAGAAACAGAATGAGAAATACAAGCAACGGGTAGACAAGCATAGGAAGCAACAGATCTTCAAGGAAGGAGATCTAGTATGGATTCACTTGCGCAAAGAACGTTTTCCTGCTAAACGCTCTGGCAAGTTGCAACCCCGAGCTGATGGTCCTTTTAGAATCCTTTAGAAAATCAATGACAATGCATATAAGGTTGAGTTACCAGGGCAGTATAATGTGGCTGGCACTTTTAATGTTGCAGATTTATCCCCATACTGTGCCGAAGATGAAGGTGACATGGCAGATGAAGACAATGCAGATTCGAGGACGAATCTTCTCGTGGTAGGGGAGGATGATGCACTTGAGTCACCATAAGTCATCATAATTGTCATTTAGAGGGGTTTTAAGGCCTTTTATGAATTTTAATAATTGCAGACGTTTCAGTTTGCATGACTTTATGTTTGGTTTATGATTATGTCTGTTTTGAGTCAGTTTTATTTCTGTTTTGTGTCGGTTTTAATATCATTGATAGTCCTTTATTGTTGTTTACGTTATGTATTGCCTGATTAAAAAGGCTTTGTAGAAGGATGTGAAGGGCAGACTTTGATTTGTTGAAGAAATATAATATAGCAGAAAACTTCTGCATTTTCCTGAAAGCCTACTTTCCATATAATTCTGCATCAATATTTTTTAATTGGTGGGGAAAAAATAATATCATGGATGAAATGAGATTATTTTTTTCCCATGTATAATTAAAAATGAGAATGATGAAAAAAAAAAAAACTATCTCAAGATAATTTTACTATTACTTATACTTACTTGGTAAAAAAAAAAAAACCCACCCTACTTTGCCATAATTTCCTCCAAAATACTCGTAACAAACACTTTAGTTACCCTTAGCTTTTCTTCTCCATTGCAGTAGCATACGTGTTTTTTAATATATGTAGTTACTTAACCTTCTTGAGTCCAGATAATGGAACCAATGTAATTTAAAAAAAAAAAAGATAATGGAACCAATGCTAAGCCATAGAATGGTAATTTACTACTCGGTATTATCTTAGTATGATCATAATGTCACACAAATGACATCATCTCAGAAATTTAGCAATAACAATCAATAATATTTGTGGGAGGCTTACCTTAGTGAATAAATTTTTGGTGCTATTATTGCACCTAAATTTAGTGTATCTTATCAATTAAAATATTACACATAAGAGGAGAAAGAGAGAATTTGTCAGAGAATTTTTTTTTTTGGCTGACATATAATATTTACATCGATGGAATACACTGAAATTTTTGATACAACATCACCAAAAATTTATTTTCCCTTGTCGTCATTTGTAAATTATTGACCATGTGCTAGAGACAAGTGGGCTTGAGTAAACGAAATTGTACTTTTGTAACAGACACATAAAAAGAAAAGACATAGAGTGGTGGACAGCTAATAGATGGAGACATTTTACCCAATCATAAATCACGAAAGAATTTAAGATAATGTAAACATATAGAGGTTGAGATTTCATCTACCATAAATCAAGGGACTTTCTTAGTCTAAATGCAAAAGTTGTCAGTGTTCACCAACTTTATTCACTTTCTCGAGCCCTCCCTTTACCTTTTGTTACCCTTACTTTTTCTTACCCATTACAGTATGTAGCGTGCATTTTTCTTTTTTATTGTTATTAATATAGTTACATAAGTCCAGGTAACGGATTATTTGCTAAGCATTATAATGGTAATTTACTACTCGGTTGGTATTCTGTTACTATAGAAGAATGGCCTCAAGTACAGGTCAAAATCGTAATCATATATATGAAATCATCTCAGAAATTTAGCAATAAACTATCAATAATATTTGTGGGAAGCTTCCCTTAACTATCAATAATATCTAAAGTCTCTTTTTCACAGTAGGCTACAAGTCCAATAAAAATATATTCTTTGACTGTTCTTGAATCCTTTCAAAGTTTGAATAAATGGTATGGTATATAGTGTATTACATCTAACGAGGGTGACATAACATTAGGAAATGCCAAATCAGTCCTCAAACAGAATCACAAATATCCCATATGAAATTGAGTTTGAGGTGTGACTGGTTTCCCCAAATCCCCTTCTGTCCTTCCCTGGTTTGAGTGTTTCAAAGTTGCATTTTCTGTCCAGATTTATATCCTTCATTTCAACACTAATCTCAGCTATCATGGACCAAACTCAAAATGAGTCTGGTTGGATGCATTCTATCAAAGTAACACTGGGTTCTCTAGATCACAGAGAGGTTAAATCTTTCATAAGCAGCATTCCCAGTGTTCCAAGCAAACTTAGAAAACCCAATGAGGAAGCTTACTCACCTAAGCTTGTCACCATTGGACCAATACACAGGGGAACCAGTAGCCACCTGCTAGCCATGGAAGAACACAAATGGCGTTACATGCTTGCTCTTCTTCACAGAACCCAAAACCCAGTTTCAACCTTGGATGAATGTGGCACAGTCATTCTAGGCTTGGATGATGCAGTTCGTGCAAGCTATGGAGGTAACATCAAATATGAACCTCATGAGCTAGCTAAAATAATGTTACTTGATGGTTCCTTCTTGTTAGAACTCCTCCTTAGGTGTGGTCCACAAGATATGGTACCTCAAATTCCAAATGAAGATAACCATCATGGTTCTTCTTCAGACCCTATACTAGGACACCAAGAGATGCTATCATCTGTTCTCACTGATCTCACTTTGTTAGAGAACCAAATACCCTTTTTTGTTCTCAAGACATTGGCTAGGACACTTTTTCCAAATGTCTTCACAAGTCAAGTTGATCACCTTGTTGCTGATCTTACACTGTCTCTCTTTTGCTACCCTTTGATTCGTTGTCCTGCTGTGGCACATTTTCTTCATCTTATGCACTTGTCTTCCATTATTGATGAGGGGCAGAAGGTGAAACAAGCTCAACAAGAACTAAAGCGTTGTGCTACAAGGCTCAGAGCTGCTGGGGTAACAATTAGACCAGTAGATAGGCATAGCAAGCTTGTTAATTTGTTTGGCTTTGACATAAGGTTCCTCAAAGGGGTGCTAGAAATCCCACCTTTGCATGTAGTCGAAACAACTGAGGTCTATTTGAGGAACTTCATTGCTTGGGAACAAAGCAGAATTGGAATCAGCAGGCAATTCACTTCTTATGCTTTGTTACTCAGAGGCTTGATATGTTCTCTGCAAGATATTGAGACGCTTGTGGACAATGGAGTTCTGGTGAAAGATACTAAGATCAGCAATGAAGATTTGCTCACTTTATTTGGCACAATCACAAAGGGTGTGGACCAAATGGACTCCAGTTACAGTAAACTTTGTGAGGACTTGAATACATACTCAGCAGTGAACCCCTTGAAGAAGTTCCCTATACTGATATGGCATTATTGTAGACTTTGTGTAGAATGCATGAGATACTTTTGCAAACGCAGCTACAGAATCTTGATTCGCGATCATATACCAAATGTTTGGAAATTGATAGGAATTGTGGTAGCTGCAGTGCTGCTTGTTCTCACCATTATGCAAACCTATTTTTCAGCCCGGGCTAAGTAAATTATGTTATTAAGTGTAACCATGACTCAGTAACCAAGGAATTTTGTGCCAAGGCTCGAAAAGTGAAAGGAAGCAATATAACTTTCTTTAAATTCTATACACTTATTCAGTTTGGTGTGTGCAAATACTAGTTGCTAATGGTTAGAACGTGCATCCAGATAGACAAAGGTAGGGTCATCAAAAGTTTCAACCACAAAACTTGTCGGCCAAAGTTAGCTATAATGCAAACAAAATTAACTGAGCGATTCTTTCATAGCAGCTTTCACACTAGCACTTGAAACGGAAGAGCTTTCTCACCTAGAATCCATTAATATCACTATTTTCTATTTTATGGCTAGTAGTCAATTTTCAATTATTGGAGCAAATTAAGTACCCCATAGACCGTTTGTCTAATTAAACGTCAAACCTTTTATTTTTATTAAAATTGATTACATTTTCTTATAACATTGTTTTGTAACTTTTCAATATACCAGTAAACATGGCAAAAGTGAGAAAGTATTAAATATCCAATAGACATCGCAGAAAACTTAGAAAAGGGAAAGGTAAAAAAGATGAAACATCATTTACTAAAAACATAAGAAAAAAATGAAACATCCATTTTAGCATGAATCAATTAAAAGAAAGGTCTAATTTGATGGCAGAGAGATCTGAACTTAGCCCTCAACTTGGAAGCTTATCATCCGCCGACATAAAACTTCTTTAAGCTCAAAATGCAACAAGTTATAACGTATCACGCAACAAATTCTGGCCCTCGGCAATGAGTTCCTGTCCTTTCTTGCGTAGGATCTCTGCTTGAAGCAACAACATAGCTCCTTTATGACCATTTTTCCCTGCCATCTCGATCTCATTAGTTGAGAAGCTCATAAGCTCCAGAAGGTGTGCTGCATCAGCCATCTCAAGTCCAACATCTATTGTAGTCTCCATATTTGACAGATCTTTCAAACGTTTCACAGTGCAATCTCGTTGACCCGCAATTGCTTTGTAGATTCCCCCAGTTTTAGGCCTCTTGGATAGTTCCTCAGCTGCCATAGACATCACTGATTCCATCTCAATCTGATCTTCTTTCCAATGACACTGACCTACATGCACAGCAGATGCAAACATAAATTACTTAAGGTATCTGATATCTATTAATTTTTCATATAAAGAGAAACTGGGGCATTAGAACTCACTGGCTGAGACAGTTGTGCCAACTTTCCCATCATTCTCCTCATAGTCAATGCCTGATGACTTGCTACCAATGGACAGTGGTGATGGTCCACTGTTAGCTGAATGCTTAATGAAAGTGCATGGAGAGGAAAAGTCTAGTGCTTCTCTTGTGCCAATGTTTTGTTTGAGAATAGGAGAAGCGGAGAAGTTGGGGGTGGTTTCTGATAAGGGAGCTTCAGAATTTGGTTTGAGTCTCTTGTGGCCATGGTCATGGTGACCACCAGGACTAGCCTCAATTGATTCAGTGTGGTGTTCTGATGGTGGAGAAAATGGCACAAACTTGGCGAAAGCATTGTTGTCACTGCTTCTTTTTCTTTGGTTCTGATGGCCAGGGTTTGGAGAATCCTCCATGATTTCTCCCCCACTTGCAGCCAAGGTAACAGTGGATTCTGAAAGTTCTTTTCGTGTTTATGTGGCAACAAAGTCCAAACACAAAAATAAATAAATTTTAATAAAAAAAAACCCTTAAAAACCAAGTAGGCAAAGCATGTGAACCCAACAACCAGCATCAACTACATAGGTTATTGTAAATCGAATTTATCAGACTCCAGCAATACTTTTTTGTAACCCATGTTCAAGAAGGGTACTAAGCTTGCCCATAAAAAAGCATCCAAATTTAGGATTGGGTTTTAGAGCAGAAAATGAATACAAGTATCTGCAAAACCCATGGGCCAATTCCACAGCCTCCATTAACATAGAAAGAGCCATCTATAATAAGTTTAATCCAACCCTCTTCTGCAGACACAAAACTTTCTCAAACTTCACTTAAAACCCCATATCCAAATTGTTTCCTCCACAATTCGAAAAGCATACTCATGAACCATAATAGCATTAACAATAATTTCTCTCATCTTTTCATTAGAATACTTACCACCTGGTGCAGAATTTGTAGGTGAAATGCTAGAGTGGATTGTCTATGCCGTGCTTGGTGTAATTTCCTTTGCAAGCAATTCAGTAAATGCCTCCTCAGATGGCTAGTGCTAGCTCCATTCCCACCCGTAGCGAATCTACATTTGCAATGGTTGCAAACTGCTTTTTGTCTACCATCGGGGATTTCAATTTCATAAAAATCATTCCAAACAAGTGATCTTTTCCGCTTCTTATTTGCTATGATTGAATCTCCAACATCTCTTACTTGTTTATCTTCACAGTTAACAACAATCATACCAAGTGTTTTGTCTTGAAGTTGACTTGAGTCAATTGGCACACTAACACTACCACTTCCAATTGGATTAGAGTCCATTTTTCAGGCCTATAAAAAAATAAGCACAAAAAATGGAGGATATTAAATTGTTAATTATATTTCCCAATAATACATGATTAACACATAAATCAGAAAATGAGGGGTATATTAAAGAAGCTAATGAAGTGAACCTCCTTGAAAAAACAAAGGGGTATATTACTCAACATGGAGATTTCATTTTCAATTCAATTTAAACAAAGAAGCAAGCAAATAAGCATCTAACTAAGTTACGGAGTGTTGGTGCTAGCTAGTCCATGACAATGCAATTACCAGTCCACTATTTTTATTTCAATTTTCACAAAAAAAGAACAGACAAACGTTCAGAAGTAAGAGATACAACAACAAATTCGCAAATTGAAACTTAAGAGTGACATCTAAAAATGAAAACGACAAACACGAAACTGTAGCAGCAAGTTGTACCTGTGATTCCTTGACAGTGGTTCGCTCATAGCTACTATGCTTTACACGTTTTAAATAGGGTTATTTTTAGGCTTGTTTTATTTTGCTAATCAAACCCGGCCCAAGATAGGTTAGGCTTTAAGACCATTTAGATTTATTTATTTATTTTTCAGGAATATGATATTTTTACTACCAAATGATGTTATTACCAATGTTATTATCATATCTTAACTGTTGATTTTCGTCGATCATAGGTTATTATTTATTATGAATTAATAATTAATTCATGAGTTTGATTTGTGAAAATAATAACCGTTGATTGGAAAATCAACGATCAAGATATGATAGTGACATTGATAGTAATATTATTTGGTAGTAACAATATTCTATCCCTATTTTTCAAAAGGTTAGAGTTATTTTGTGTTTGGATGAGTCTTAAAAAATATTTTTAAGTTAAAAAAAAATATTTTGTTTTTCAGAAGTTAAGAATTTTGGTTTTAAAAAATAGTTTTAGCTTTTTTTATTTTTTTTAAATACATCCAAATATACATATAAAATGAAAAGTATTTTACTTTAAAAAACATTAGTTTCTTGAAAATAAAAATAAAAATTCAGGGTAACAAGCCCTGGAGAGACCAAAAGTTGTGCACCTTACTATGTCACTGTCTTCGGATTAGGAAGCCATGGCTCTGCAAAAAAATTTCATAGGAAATATATCACAGCTATTATAGTTAAGGTTCAAATCACCTAATGATTGGAAAAGGTTATATGTTTCATGGGTATATATATATATATATATATATATATATATATATATATATATATATATATATATATATATATATATATATATATATAGGGCAGGATATTCTTACACCGATGTAAGAGTTAGAAGTCTTACACTCAATCTTGACCATTGATTCACTTGTATCTAATGGCTCACATTTCTAAAAAAATTTAGCCGTTAGATATAAATGGAATCAACGGATAAGATTGAGAGTGTAACTTACACTGGTGTAAAATGATCCTGACCCTATATATATATATATATATATATATATATAGACAGGATCATCTTACACCAATGTAAGAATAATAAGTCTTACACCAAATCTTAACCATTGACTTTCTGCATCTAACGGTTAAGATTTATTAGGTCTCACTCATTAATTAATTTTTAATTCCCAATAAATCTCAACCGTCGGATGCACGGAAATCAATAGTTAAGATTTGGTGTAAGATTTATTATTCTTACACCGATGTAAGTTGATCATATCCCATATATATATATATATACATACATATATATATATATACACACGAGGTATGATCCTTTGACATTAGTGTCAAATTTGAAATTTGACATTTCATATGAGAGTCGTTAGATAAAAAAAGATCAACGACTCTGATTTGTAAGTATGTGACACCATTGATTTTTTTTTTTATCTAACGGCTATTAGATGAGATGTCAAAATTTAAATCTAATAATGAAGTAAAAAAATCCTACCACTATATCTCTTATGTTATTAGGCTCAACTATAACCCTTGACTCAAACTTAAATACATGCATGCACGCGTCCTCTCTGTCGATGAATGCGTGGCACATAGTTTTGTCCTAGTTTTTTTTTATATATATTCTAATCTATTTATTGTTTCGCGACTAGTTCAATTCAGGTCGAATCTCGAGATTAAAACTTTAAACCTCTATAAAAAATAGTATTGGAGAGAACCGAAGAGATGCTCTTACTCCTATTTGCCTCATCATTTGATTTATCGTAACTTCTTTAGCACACTTGTTCATTGAAATGCTTCCTTGTAAGCTACCTTAGCTTATTTTTCGGGGTCTATATTTTTTATTCACTCACTAGAACCAAAACTTTACTATGGTTTTATGAATAAGTAGCAATACATATAGATGGCTAAATGCGAAAATTTTCTTAGGACAACCATGTTGTTCAGATCCATCTAAACATTGGTAATATGAGGAAATCCAACATAAAAAATTAAAAAAAAAATCTAGAGAAGGTTGTAATTTTCACATCCCTGAGCTTATTCAAGCAACATTGAAACATAAAATAAGAGAATTACAATCTTGATGTGTACCAAACTGGTGTAAATATGTTTATCGATAAAGTTGCCTATGGCAAGTGTCCTAAATTACTAATCTGACATTACAATGGGAACGGTAATTTTATAAAGAATTATTCTGTTTCTAACCATGAAATTCCAATATTTTCCATTGCACGTTTGGTGCATGTAATTGTGCTCCAAATTTAACACTGGAATTGGAACTGGGCCATTATTTAATGATAAAACCTCGCCTCATCACAATTCCATGGAATTGAAAACAAAAAATAAAATAAAATACAACCTTTCCCAATTCTTAACCCAAACCCTGAAAATTACAATTCAAACTAATCAAGAATTGAGATGATGTAATATATATTCCATACTTCTCAACCATCACCTATTTTTGATGTAACAGTTTTGACCGCTAAAGCACAACAACACTACCACTAACACTTAACACTGTCACTTTTGCCATGATCCTTGTCACTAACAGGAATAATTTTACCATTACTACTGCCGCCGCCACCACCACCTCTCCCTCTGAAACCATCACCGTAAAAAAACATTTAGTTAGAAATATCTATTAAATATTAAAATTATGTCAGCAATATTATAGATAGATCACACACCCAAACAATAAAATTAGAATAGAACCCAGAATGACAATTTTATTTCCTGATTCTTTGTCTAATCAAAACGTAAGTTTTATGAATCTGAATTAATTCCAATTCTAACATAACTAGAATAGAAATTATAATCCAAAACCTAAATGTCAATTCTGAATTCCAAATAAATCTGTTAGAGATCCCCTAAGCATCCATTGTTAATTCCAATTCTAACATAACTAGAATAGAAATTATAATCCAAAACCTAAATGTCAATTCTAAATTCCAAATAAATCTGTTAGAGATCCCCTAAGCATCCATTGTTAATTACAGTTAGAGTATCAACAGTTAGTTATAGAGGGAGAGATAATGGGGTATAAATAATAGAAGGGAAATAATAGTGAGGAGTCTTTTATTTTGGGAGCGGAAATCAGGAAGGAGGACTCAGGTTTCTCGAATACCTGAAGTAGTAGACTCTTTCTCACTGTCTTCTATATTCTATATTGTCCTATATTGTTTCTATACAGATCCAGAGATCATTTGTTCTATCAATAAAGAATACATTCTTTACATCAATTCTGGTCCAGTTCTATTAAAAATCCTAAAACATAAATTACAAATACCATTAATTTTTCTCTTATTCATTCTCATTGAAACTGTTCGATATATAAAAAAAAATCCAGTCTTAAGCTTCCATTTATCAGCTTCAGCTTTTAGTAGAGTTGTTCTTTAGTATGGTATTAGAGCATAGTGATCAAGTGGTCACGATTTTGATCCTTGCCCCTTCCATAGTTTCATAGTTAAATATTTAAATTAAGTTTCAACACAAGGTAAAGTAGCCCTATGAATTATCATTACGTGAAGGAGGAGGGTGTGTGTTAGAGATATAAAATCATTCCAGAGCCTCCACCTAACAGCTAAGCTTTTAAGGAAGTTTGTCTTTAACAGTAACTTCCAGATGAGAGCTTGACATTGACAGTAAAATTTTAACACCAACAAGGCAACACTGAAAAACCAAATGCTAAAACAAATATCTGGTAAAAGTATTGACATCAGTAGAAGACTAGAAAGTTGATCTCACCATAATCATGATTCAGGATCATCTATTAGACAAGTTCTTGACACAATAAAAGTAAGTAAACAGTCAAGAAGGGATCTAATCAATAAGTCCATTCTCTTAATTTACAACAAAGCTGGAGGCATCGGAATTGTTACCAGAGATGATTTAATTCAGACAATGGGATCCAACATAGAGGAAATTAGTAAGGGCTTGGGAGCAGCAAGTCTTGTGTTTCAGGCAGGGACATCTAAGACACAAGCTGAAGCTTAAATAACTTGCTAGGTCTAAATCAAAACATGCTCCTCAATCTTCTGGTACTAGTTAGTTCACTTGAATCCATGGAAACATCTCAGAAAAGTAACATTGAGCCAGATAGAACTGGGATGAATGCCTGTATATTCCATAGAAAAACCAAGTCATGGAAGATGGAGGGAATACTGCTAGTGATTGGTTTAAAAAAGGTTGAGCTAATTAGTTTTAATCGCGTTCATTTATCTGTTTGTTTAGTGCTGCCTTAGGCTGGCATAATGGCCAGTTTTGTTTTTGGGAGGTGTATGGGATTACTTGACCAGTTAATACAATCTCGTATCTATCTATGTCTAAAAATGAAGAAAGAGAGCCTCAATGTTAGCCAATCTGACACAAACTTCCTACTTCAAAAGCAGAAATTGGATCGCAAAATAATAACAAAGTGATGATATTGAAACCAAGAACAAGAGTCTCTGCGTTAGAAGCAAACCTGTGAGAATACATTTTGCCATTCTCATCCATGGCCTAATCATAGTTTTATATGGGGCATTATATACCATGAAGTTGAATTTTACATTTGCATCTCTTTACCATAAAATGGCAACTGGTTGAAATGCCAATAACCTCAAAACTCCATGATCGTTGGGTTGCCAATCTCTGTCCTAGCAAAACATTAATTTGACTTATATAAGTCATTGCTTGTCAAATACAACAAAATATGCTTGTTTTCAAGCTGAAAGTTCCCATTCTCTGAATATAAGTACATATATTACATGATTCAAATGTGCATCGAACTAAGAAAAATTTCTTCAAATCACACCTTCAAATAATATTGTATATACATATATGAGGTAACCATTCATGTGCAACCTCCTAACGGCTTAAGCTTTTGGCGGAGTTGGTCGTATGACATGATATCAAAGTTATGCCCAAGTGGTCTAGAGCTCAATCTTTATCGTCCCCATTTATCAAATAGAAAGTTGAATTTAAGCACAAGGTAACCAAAAATAAAAGCATGGATCTGTGTATTATCCATGCTTAGAGCCCAGTAAAAAAAGAAGGTCTCGCATGAGGGGACGGGTAAATAAATATAATAAAACCATTCATGTGCCTCTTTCTAATGGCTTAAGCTTTTGGGAGTCTGGTTGTGTGACAGTAACATCTCCCCAAGATTAACAGAAATATGTACAATTTATACACCAATGTAAAGCAGGCATAAAACAGACAAGAAGTGTCTTACCTGATCAAAATCAGAGACTGAACGAGGGTGTCCTACCATAAGACATGCAGCAATCTGAAATGAAACCAAACCATCTTGATAATTTTGACTATCTAAACAGAGAAACAAAAGTAGATAAAACTAGAACGTAACTAATTTAATGAAAGACAATGTAGAACTTACTTTAAGAGTACCATGACATCGCATTCTTGAAAGCAAAAACTATCATGCAACAAATAATTGAAGCTCTGGATGAACCTTATTAAGTTTCATCAAGAGCTCATTGCATGTAATGCTTGTTCCTTTCGATGTATGTTCTGAATATTTTGGAAGAATCTTCTTTATATCAATATCTTCTGACATGTGACAAAGACAAGCTAAGATGGTAGAAGTTAATTTTGAGTCTAGTACAACACCCTTATCAGCCATTTGATGAAGCAAGAAAATGATTTTTTCTGTCCCTCCCATTAAACCATAGCCCTTTAGCAAAGAATCAAATACAGCAGAATCCGGTACATGACCACAAGAGACCATTCTCTCATAGAGAGACATAGCCTCATCCAACTGCCCAAGTTTTGAGAACCTGTTTATCAATATAGAAAAGGTAATAGCATCAGGGACCAAATCCATGTTAAGCATCTCCAATAGCAATTCCTTGGCAGATTTAATATCTCCAGCTTTGAGGGTTTCATCAATTATAATATTAAAGGAGACAACATCAGGATCATGATTCACATTTCTCATTTCTTGAAATAAACTCCTAGCCTGCTCCAAACTACCTTCCCTGCACAAGGAAGCCATTAGTACATTATAATCAATTACTGTAGGTCTAATCCCAGAAGCTCTTCTTTTAGCAAAAAGTCCTTTTGCAATACTAAGCATCTGCATTTTGCACAGACCATTAATCATGACACTATAGGTCATTGAGTTGGGGGAAAATCCCAAGTCTACTGCATATTTCCAGAGTTCCAATGCCTTAATAAATTTTCCAGAATTGAGATAACCATCAATCAAAATATTATAAGTTACTGTGCTACTTGGGAACCCCCTTTTAACCATTGCAGAATGGACCCTCATGGCATCATTGAGACGTCCTTCCTTGCAAAGTCCCTGAATTAGAAAACTAAAAGTAAAGACATCAGGCTTCATATGGTACTCCTTGCTCAATAACAACTTCCAAAGGTCCATTGCCTCATCAATTTTTCCAACTCCACATAGTCCTTTCAATAATGTGTTGTAGGTAACAACATCAGGTTTCTTCCCCTTCTTTGCCATCATTTCTAGAATCCTGTGAGCATCATCCACCCGACCTTCCTTACAAAGTCCATTTATAATGACATTATATGTTAAAGTATTCGGCTCTTCCCCCTTTTGTATCATTAAATCCAACACTTTGAGTGCATCAGATGCCCTCCCATTTTTGCAAAGCCCATCAGCTACAACTGTATAAGCAACAACATCAGGACGAACTCCACTGGCCGTCATATCATTCAACATTTTGGAAGCTTCTTGCCACTTCCCATTCTTGCAAAGAGCATTCATCAAACAGCTATAAGTAACCACATTCGGAGCAACTTTCTTTTTCAACATCTCATTAAAGAGTTCTTTACCCCTCTCAATATCACCTTTGTTACAAAAGCCATTAATGAGAGCACTATACACAAACACATCTGCATCCAAACCCTTCTTCCCCATCTCCTCCAACAAATCCAACCCTTCATCAACTACCCCATTCTTACAAAAACCATCAATCAAAGCACCAAATGTCACCAAATTCGGCCTACAATCCCCAACCTTCATCGCCTCAAACAAATCCCTCGCTTCTTCCAATCGCTTTGCTTTACATAATCCATTTATAAGTGTATTATAACTACAGCTATCAGGATACACACAATTCCTCCCCATTTCACGAAACAAACACATGGCCTTGTCACAATCACCAATTCGACAAAAACCCTTCAACACAAGATTCACATTATAAACATTAACCCCAAAACCACGCTTTATCATCAACCCCAGGACCCCAAATGCAAACTTTGGCTTCTGGGTGTTGACAAAACTTTCAACCAAAGCACTCAACGAAGTAAACCTGGGCAAAACACACGCACGTGCCATCTTACAATAAACCGACAAGACAAGGTCATAGTGTCTTGCCTTTCGCAGGTTGTCTATGAGGGAGTTGCAGGAAAATTCAGAGGGAGGTGAATCAGAATCCACGGCACGGTAAAAGTGGGAAACAGCTTCGGAAAGTGACTGAGGAGGATTGGGTTTCGCACACTGGGAAGCTACATCAACGGTTGAAGAAGAAGCAGAAGAAGAACAAGAAGAAACATGGAAGGGACGAAAGTTGGAGGGAATAGAAACGATGGATCGAGAAGGATTAAGGAGGCGTTTTGGTATCATTGGTGAGATTGTTTAGGGGAGGTGGTCTTCGTGGCTTAGGCGCGGAAGGGTGCTGCAGATGCAGAGGTTGTCGTTCAAGTTGGAACGAAATAATAACATATAAAGGGTTTTTGTTTTCAGGATTTAGAGCTTGTTTGTATGGACTTGTGAAAAAAGTCATTTTAATGACTTCTTTATTTTAAAAAGCGCTTTCTATAAAAGTTATAGCTACTTAGATTTTTTAAAAATATTTAATTTTTGAAAAAAAGTATTTGGCTTTTGACTTCTGTTTTTTTACGACTTCTGCTTTTTTTAAAAGCAGACATCCAAATAGACTTTTTTCGAGAAGTGCTTTTTTTTTCTTAAAAAAAGCAACTTTTGAAGAAAAAAAAGCTCATCGAAACGGACCCTTAATGTGTCTACTGAGTTATTTATATTCGCTACAAAACAACATTATTTTTGGTTGAAAACACGTTAGTAAACAAATCAGGAGTCTTTAGTACAACATGGTGAAGGTACAGGTTTACATATTTAAAATTGATTATTAAAATCATGATTGGATTTGTATAAAAGCTTGTCTAATAAAAGACTGAGGCTCTAATTCAAAAGCTCGACCTTAGAGCTTCTCAGTCTTGGTAATTTTTTTATTTTATATTTTATACTACTTGTAATATCCTTCCTTTCTCCTCATTCCATTTCATCCTATTTTATTGGTTAAACAGATTTTTTTGAATGATTTTGTTTTATATTGTGCTATTTGAATATACATTGAATTTATAAATATTTATGAAATTACTATTACTGTTAATTGTATATTCTATTTGGATAATTTTTTGTTGTCTTATTTTTTAAACATGCTAAATCAGACTTTTATTTTTTTAAATAAGGCAGGTCATAGGTCAATAATTATATTTATAATAGGTAACATGCTTGATTAGGCTGACATATTTAAAACAGACTTACTCTTTTAAGATCAAAGCTTGGCTCGACTCGGTCAATTAACACCCCTACTTGAAAAATTAAAAAAATTATAATAAAAAGACTACTATAACCCTAAAATATATTATAATTATAAAAATACTTTGATTTCAGTCACAAAATAACATCATTTTGGACTCAATATAAATAATTTATTTACATTAATTGCAGATAAAATGAACCCTTAATTTAAAGGGATTAATATTTAATGGGATATGTGAAGAGAAAAGTAAAAAAAAATAATATCGGACCAAAGAAAAAAAAAAGCTGAGTAAAATACATGAATGTGCCTTTCATTTGTTAAAAAATCAATAAATATTGAGGTGATAATTTCCAACACACGTCTCACGAAAAATTTGTGTTGATTGCCATATTTTTAAATTAGTGTCGTGTTTGTGTAATAAAAAATGGGTTTGTCGGTTCTCCTTTCACTGCTGATGAGAAAAGAAAAATTTTAACACTAGGATACGTGGTCGTATCCTGGCCTAAAAAAAAAAAACATCAGGATCCACACGTGTATCCTGAGAAAAATAAGTTTTGCTGCACTTTTTTCTCATCTACAATGACATGAGAGCTACATGTCCCATAAAAAATTGATCTGTAAAAATTTATATCATGTCGTGTATTAACCTGTGAATTCAAAATTGTCCACATTAATATTTTAACATGTTGTTAATGTCATAAACAAGTTGTTCTATCTTATTATGTAATATTGACCCACATAATTAGTAACACAATTTGAAATTGAGAGATTATTTATGTCCTGTCATGTCAAAGTGCATAATCAAGGACACTGAGTTTGTGGGTTATTCGTGTTATATGGTGTTAATATGCAAAATAAGCGAGTCGTATTCGTGTTGAATGTTTTAATCCGATTTCAAATTTGTATCGTGTTGGTATTGAATTTTTTTATGTTCCTATCGAGTTTGTGTTGTAGTGTGTGGTGTTAATCCAAATTGTCATCCCTAGGATTGCATGAAAAAAATGGTTTTAATAAAAAAGAATAGCATAAAATATTCTATTTCATTTTATTTTATTAATGCATCAGGTAGCACTTGCTATACAAATGGAACGGAATGGAATGGAATAGTGTTATGATAGCTCCAACTCTTTTAACAGAAGTAAAATGTATCACATTCTTAATGGCATGCCTGAATTTTGTTTTATTTTTAAAATACACCAAACTTAGAATAGAGTACATATGTTATATTCTATTTCGTTCTAATTTGTCTACTAGATATTGTCTTAGACGCACTATATAAAGGATGAATATATTAGGAGTGTAGTGTGATTCAGTTTCTATCCTTTTTTAAGCATAAACAAATTCTTGAATAGATTAGAAATCCATAATTTGGATGCTGCAGGCTTGGCAGTTTCAACCATTCTTCCAATTCTTACAAGGAATGATATTATGCTATCAAGGGAATTTTGCTATAGCTGAGTCTCTTTGACACCTGGGAAATTTTCGTTTCTCTTCAAGGGAATTGCCTCCTTTTAAGGTTCTATATTATGCTATCACAAACAACACAGTGGTCTGAGATTAATCTTGCCATGACACTTCCCTCTTCAATAGCCAATTCTCTGCTTCTCTTGTTCCACAAGTGCACTGCAAAGGTCTCTCCCTCAGATAGTTCATTTAGCTTGCTTTCCACCAATCTTGATTCTGACTCATTTTCTGGTTTCTTGAAAAGCCTTCCAATTCTCAACCAATCCACAGGATAGAAGGCTTTAGGAGGCAAAATTGTAAGGTTGTATCCTGGTGTGCTTCCCACTCTCTCTATAACCCTTGAAACTAAGTAAGGCCCATTGTGGCCCCATTTATTTCCATCAAAAGTTGCAGAAAATTCCTGCAAAAAGTCCAATAAAATAGGGTGATTAATGTCAAATATCATAATTGCACCATTCAGTCTAGTCCATTTTTTAGTCACTGAGTCTACACTTTGTGCTCCAACTGCATTTCTCAACTCTGAGAAATCTTTAAGTACTATCATGTCTGTGTCCATGTAAACCCCACCATATTTGTACAACATTGCTAGCCTAATGAGATTAGAAAGATTTTGGGACAATGGGATATGTCCAGGATCTTTGTTACCACTATTCATCTCTTCAAGCCAACCTTCAGCTGGGGTGTCCTTAACCAAGAAAGGCAAATCTGGAGTGATTGCATAAACTTTGAAACCAAGATCAAGCAAAGGTTTCAAAATTCTGTATCCACGTTTAGAATCCATGGATCTTGATATAATCAACAAGCATCCTTGAGGGTGTGCTTTGAAAAGTGTATCCATGGTGAGAAACTCTCTTTTCCCAAAGGATTGTGCTGGAGAAAACCATGTGATGTGGAATAGCACTGAACAACCTTGGTTTAGGAAGTTCAAGACTCTACTATGAAATTGCTGTGATAAGTTACTTGACTGTAGAATCTCTAGTTCAGGAAGTAGTCTTCTGAACCATGCAATCCTTTCATTCCTTGATACATTCTCAGGAGGAATAAGAGGATCATGGTTTTCAATATCAGTCTCTTCCTCTTCCAGAGAAAGCTGAGGAGTGTCACCAATGTCAGTAGTTGACAATTCAATTGATTCATCAATAAGATGATCATCATCCTCCTTTAGAGTTTCATGGCTTGTCAAGTCAAAGGACTGTAGGGTAGAATTTGAGTAGATGCTTTCAACATAGATGAAAAGAAATATTGCAAAAAATAAAGTGGTATAGAAGACTGGTGATTTGGGATTGCGGATTTTTTGCTTGTATTCAAAGATCTTGCGAGATATTTTCTTAGAACCCATGATACTTTGGGATATAGGTAAGTTCCTCTATAATCTGACACTAGCCAATGTGCCTCTTAGAAGCAAAAATCAATAAGTGATTATGCTATGCATCCTAGAGTTTGTATTTATAAACTACCTTCTGAATTTCGGTTATAGGTGAATAATAAACATATTATAAAATATGGTCCACTAGCCACAAGGAAATGGTGATTGATGTGAGAGGATATAAACTTGGTATTAACTGTTGAAAAAACTAATAGGGTTTTCAACTTCTTGGAGCTAAAATATACAAACTGTACCTTCATTCAGCGTTTACTACTGTGTCTTAAAAATGACCACAATGCGGGCTAGGTAACAGTACTTTTTCTTCACATCAATGAATGCATTTATTTATTTTCGTTTTGAATAATATATGTTGTTTTTAGGGCCTTTAAGGTTGCCAATTTATTACCCTTTATAGTAATGCCTATTATCAATTTGAATCAAGATTGATAATGAGATCATTTATATGGATCTAACAGTATTAATTATATCAAATCAGGCTGATATAAGTCAGGTGCACTAAGATGTTTTGTCATGATCATCCATCTCCATGTGTGAAAAACGCCAGTTTTTCTTTCTCCCCCTGCCCCTTTTTCTTTAAACCTTTGTATTTATTTTATGACAATATTGATGCCGATTTCAATTTATATTGGAAAGTGAAGAAAGAAATATAATAAATAAAATAATGTAAACTCCAATTTTATTTCATTTTTTGGTATAATATTTTTCAAGTAAATTGTGTTGTTTTCCGCAATGTTATTAAATCTGAATCAATAAGACTCGGTTGAAATATCGGGTCAATGAAAAAAAAAATTGAACCAATAAAATTGAATATATATATATATATATATATATATATATATATATATATGAAAAATATTTTCTCATGTTATTGGAGACATTTTGTCTCATGTCATATAGGTAAATATGAGGGGCCCACTTTTTATAAAAAAATTAAAAATAAAAAAACTTAAAGGAACCCACATGTTTATTTTTATGACATGAGACAAGATGTCTTTAACAATAAGATATATATATATATATATATATATATATATATATATATATATATATATATATATATATATAGGGAAAAATGTTTCTCCGGCAACTTGAGATAAGTTTATCTCCGGCTATCTCAAAACGACGTCGTGTTGTTTTTTTATTTTCTTATATTAATTGATTCACGTTTGAATGATTATGATTCTCTTTTTCTCTCTCTTCTTTTATCACCATTGATCCATCTTTGTACGGTTATGATTTAGTAGCCGGAGATAAAATTATCTACCGCAGCTTGAGAAATGATAAGCCCTATATATATATATATATATATATATATATATATATATATATATATATATATATATATATATATATATATATATATATATATATATATATATATATATATATATATATATATATATATATATATATATATATATATATATATATATATATATATATATATATATATATATATATATATATATATATATATATATATATATATATATATATATATATATATATATATATATATATATATATATATATATATATATATATATATATATATATATATATATATATATATATATATATATATATATATATATATATATATATATATATATATATATATATATATATATATATATATATATATATATATATATATATATATATATATATATATATATATATATATATATATATATATATATATATATATATATATATATATATATATATATATATATGATAATTAAAATAAATCTGTTCATGCCAGAAAACATGTACCGGTTAACAGAAGTTCAACCCTACTGCATGTTACATGCAGGGCCGATCAATTATCGATTAGTGTGTTTTCGTTTTTATACTTTTCGTCTTTGAATTATTTTTTGGAAAATGTGCTTCGTATCCATTTGTATTTAGAATTAGTTATTACTTAGTACTATTTGCCTATTTGGCTTATGGAACTCTATTTTGATGCCTTCTATTTTTTATTTTTTATTTAAAAAGTACATTTTCAGTTCTCTAAATTCAGTTGAAGTTCTTTTTTGTCACAAATTTTAATTGTAATAATGTTATTCTTGTAATTTTAATAATTGATGTAATGAATTTCTTCCATTTAATTGATGTATGAACGTGAATACGTGATATTCGTTTCGCTCATATGGACAGTGCCACTGCCACATCATTTCATGTAAGTAAACTCGATAATAATTTTAAAAAAATCAGTGTCACGGAATTAACTATAATCGACATAGACAACAAAGGCCTTTCCGTGTTAGCAAGGCACTGTCATTTCATTATCAAACTAAATGAAACTTAAATACATTAATTAAAACTATGAAGATAATAACGTAAAAATTGAAAAAAAAAAAAAAAGAACCAAATCAAACTTTAACAAAAATAGGAGGTTGAAATGTAATTTTAAGAACAATTTCTTATTACCAATTCATAATAGAATTTAGTTTTTAATTTATTTTTATTTTTATCAGATACCAAATACCTATGGGGTCTTAACTCTAGCTTGCTTACCATTAGACTCGTAGCATTCAGTTCTGAATTGTTAATCCAAAATTTTAAACCATTTTTTGCTTTATTAGTCATTACCCAAGAACATTTTACTATATTTTGTTTGAAGAATTGAAATTCAATTACGGAATGAGTTAATTCTATAATTTTTTTTTGGTAAGCGAGTTAATTCTATAATTTGCCAATCATTTTAGTTGTACAAATTTCTTAATTTTTCTTGGTTTAAATATTCTAAGGATTAAATTTATTATTATTTTTAAACATTTGCATGTTAATTTATGAGTCCACCAATTTTGTATAATTCGAGATATATTATATAAAGCAACCATCTCATCTAACAACTCAAGTTATTAAATGAAGGTTCGTTAATGATTTTTATATTATATTTTTCCAACACACTTTTTCACACAAGAATTTTTTGGGCTCAAAGCGTGAACATAGACTCTGATATCATGTAAAACAATCATTTTAATCCAATAACTTAATTTATTAAGTGGAGGTCTACAAATAGTTTTTATATTACATCTCTTATATATTATTTATATAATAACCCAGTGGCGGAGCCGGGCTCCAATTTGAGTCCGGGCCAAAAAAATTACGTGTATTTATTTTTCTTAATTTTAGTTAGTTTATATCATAATATATTTAAATTATATTAAATACAGAGCACCTGAGCAGGTAGCACCAAGAAGAGTTATAATTATATTAAATATTTTTTAATTTTACAAAAAAATATTTTATTTTTTTTATACAAGTAGAAATTGAACACTAACCTAATACAACTTACCCAAATCTTTCACCATAAATATTTTGAGTTTTAGATAAGGCCAAATTATAAATTATAGCCCGGGCCAAAGTATAATTTTAACCCAGACCAAATTATAATTAATTATATAATTATATATTATAATTAATTATATAATTATATATAATAAGTACAATTTGTTAAAATTTAACCCGGGCTGAGGCCACACCCAGCTTGTATGTGGCTCCGCTACTGTAATAACCCTAACTTGTGTTATATAGATTTAAGAATTGATTAATGATTTAATCATGAAATTAATGGTCTAAATAGGTTAAAAATCTAATTAGGTAAAAATAAGTCATTTTTGGAAAAAGTGCAAAAAGTGAGAGTCTTGGAGTATAATTGCTAGTAGACAAAAGTTACCGGAACTTAAAAATAATTGAATGGAATATAACACTATAAGAAAAAACCTATATAGCGACGAAATTGTTATGGAAACACTTAGATAAGTCCAAGATTCACTTAGATAAGTCAAACACATATAACTACATGAATCCATCAAACACATCATGATCCACTTAGATAAGTCTAAGATTCACTTAGATAAGTCTAAGCATCATGATGTGTTTGATGGATTCATGAGGTTATACTTACTATTTAGTGAAAGTCTAAGATCCACTTAGATAAGTAAAATGGATGAGATGACGTGATTGAGAATACGCGTTATTTGTTTTGACTTATTGGCACCTTAGATATTTGATGAAATATCTTAAGTTAGACAAAACCATTGCATTTCTCTTCCTTCTTCGTGCGTGAGGGTCGTGAGCCATTGGAAGGAAAAATTGATTTGCAACTTCATGTGTGGTTATCCAATCAAGAAAGTTTCAACTAGAGAATTGCTTAGAATTACTAGACAAAGATAACCCTTAATTCAGATATCCTTGAAAGTGAGTGTGTGAAGAGAAAAAGAAAGGAGAAAGTAGCAGTTTTTATGAGTTTGTGGGCAATGGAGGCTTGTTTGATCTCACCCAAAGGTTCAAATCTACTGCTTACTTGATTGTGAAGCTATTGATGGTAAGAAATCTCATTTCTATCTAAGTTTTTGATAAGTTGATTTCTAATTTACATAATGCTACATCTCCATGGTTGATATGGTTAGAGTGATATGTAGCCTTAGGTCCTTTCGAATATATGTTAAGGAACTTAAATAAATGGTAAAAAGGGAGTTAGATCATCGTTTGGACTTGGTTTGATATATTCGAAAATTCCAAATGATTTTAGAGTGTTTCTTGCAATGCAAGTAGGGGTGAAAGTGGGCTGGAATGGGCCAAGATTTGTTCCGAAAAGCCCAAGCATGTGCCAAAAAATTTTAATTTAGCCTGGCCCAAGCCTAGTACGAGTCTAACTGTTAGCCTGGCTTGACCCATTTATAAAAAAAATAAATGGTCTGCCCTAGCCTGTTAGCCTGTTAATTTTTAAGTTCCAAGCATAACCATGAATCAACTTCACAAAATACTCAAATTTTGTTGCTAAACCAAAAATCATAATTTCAACTTCCAAACAGAATCATGAATCACAAAAAAACTCATCACAATATGCATTTAAGTCACTTTCAAAAGCAAAATGCTTAAACTAAATAACATATATTTCATTAGATCCAACAAACAAATCTATATTATGTAAATTA